TCAACTGTGCGTCGGAAAGCAAGGGGTTCTAACGACAATGAGCATGCGTGAGATGAGGGAGAAAAATTGCGGTCATACCGGCCAAATATAAATCGTATTGCTTTTTTCTGTATGCCCTCGAGCATATTTATGTCAAGTGCAGTATAGGGTGACCATACCGCTGAGGCGTACTCTAGCAATGGTCGGACGAGCGATTTATACGCCGTTAATTTGCAGTCCTTGGTAGAGTGCTTGAGTGTTCGTTTTATGTATCCCAGTTTTCGAAGTGCTCTAGTGCAAATTGTTTCGATGTGATGGTGCCACTTTAGGTTTTGAGTGTAGGTAACACCAAGATATTTGAATGTATTAACAGAGTTTAAGTAGTGCCCATTGTAACTATAACTAAACCTTAGCGGCTGTTTTTTATTAGTAAATGTCATTTCAACAGTTTTTTGGTAATTAATGTTCATTTGCCACGTGGCGCTCCAACCACAAAAAGACGAAAATACTTTGTTCAGAACATCTTGGTCAAGAGCATTATTTACGCTAGTATATAAAACGCAGTCGTCAGCGTACAATCGCAGCTTCACTGGTGTGTCCTTAATGACCTGTGTGACATCATTAATATAAATAATGAACAATAGGGGCCAAAGCACCGAGCCCTGTGGAACCCCGAAAGTGACTGCACACGACGATGACTGCGCATGCTCAAACGTAACAAATTGTGACCTCAAACGTAGCCAATCAGCTATCCAGCCTATTATTTTGTCATCGTTAATAATACTTCTGAGTCTAGTAAGAAGTTTTTTGTGACATACTACATCAAATGCTTTGCTATAATCTATGAATATGGCGTCAACCTGTCCTCGAGTATTAAGAGCCGAAGCGATGTCGTGAGTGAATTCAATGAGCTTTGTAGTTGTAGAAAAACCAGAGCGGAAACCATGCTGATTATGGGACAATAAGTTGTTATTAGTGAGGTGCTGAAGTACATGTTTATGAATTATGTGCTCTAAAAGCTTGCAACAGGTACACGTTAATGAAATAGGCCTGTAGTTAGAAATGAGTTGCTTATTACCCGATTTAAACACAGGAATTACATTGGCGATTTTCCAAACGGTCGGCACAATACCTGTTTCTAATGATTTAACAAAAATTATTGATAAATAACGAGCATTCCATTCTGCGTAACGCTTCAAAAACATGTTTGGTATGCCATCTGGCCCAGCGCCTTTAGTAGTGTCGATATTCAACAGAAGGTTAAGAACGCCAGTGTAGCTAATTTCAATTGCTGGAAACGAATCTATTTCCTGGCTGCTATGAATGTCAGGGGTCGTTCCAATGTCATCTCCAAATACAGTTTTGAAATACTTATTAAAGGCTTCAGAAATTTTGGATGAATCAGAGCAGGACACATCATCTATCATGAAGGTTGACGGACAGGCCGTGGTAGGATTGATAGTTTTCCAAAACTTAATGGGATTATTTTTCATAAAAGAGCTTAATGTGGTATTAAAGTAAAACTTTCTGGCATCACTCATTTTAGCTTTTAGTTCAGATTTAAGCAAGTTAATTTGCGACTCCCCGTCATTATTGTGAACCCTCCGTCGCTTTCGCAGTCGCTTAATACGACGTTTAAGCTGTATAATTGACCTGGTATACCAAGGGTGTTTGGCATGACGTTTTATGCTCTTGTGAGGAACAAACTGCGCTATACATTCATTAATTATACTGTAAAATTGGTTAGTCAACGTACAATACTGCAGTGGTCACTACTCGATAAGAAATCGTCAAAGCATGTTGCAAGTTTAGCAAAAATAGAAGTGTCGTCTGCGCATTCAAAATTCAGCACAGTCTTAAACGTTGGTCGTACTGGCTTACAAGCAACATTTAAATCAACAATAACGGCCTTATGGTCGGAAATTCCATCGACAACCCTGCACTGATATCCATTCGTAACCAACTTATGGTTGGCAAAAACAAGATCTAGTATAGAATCCTCGCGTGTAGCCTGATCAACCAGCTGCGATAGATCGAAAGCTAGTGACAAATTAATTAAGGAATCACAAATTATTCTGTCACGACCAGTTGATGTTAACAAATTCCAATCTATTGAGGGGGCATTAAAGTCACCGGTCTATACGAGTTTAGAACAGTCCAGCCTTTGTCCCACAATATAGTCACTGACAGTCGAAAAAACGTCTGAGGAAGAGTTAGGAGGACGATAGAGACCACCAACAATAATAGCGAGACCATCAAGCATTAGTTTGCACCTTATAGATTCAGTATTTGGGAGTTCTGGCAGTAAAGAAAATTCAATAACACTTTTAATAAAAAGTGCCACTCCGCCACCACGGCCAGAAGGCCTATCTTTTCTTAGAACCGTGTAACCAGGAGGCAAGAATTCATGATCAAGGATAGATTCATTTAACCAAGTCTCGCTCACACAGATAGCTGATAGACGATGACACTCAATGAGCCAGTTAAAGTTTGCAATTTTATTAACTAGGCTACTCGCATTTAAATTCAAAAGTGCGAAGGACTTCGCACTAAGCCGTCATTCATTGTTTATAGCAGACAGCCGACGGCTTTCGTTAACGATAACTTTTTTCTTCTCATCCCAAGAATACAGAACGTTGTCCACCAACAAATGATCGTAGTGCAGCCTGGCTTTTTTCGCAGCCCTTCTTATCTCGGCTGAATTCTACCTAAGTTCACTGCGTATCTGCCTCACGCGCTCAGAGAAGTCTTCATTTATAAACATTTTCGTGCCCTTCAACTTGCTTTCATTGCTTAAAATAGCGACCTTAGTTCTAAAATCCAGCAACTTAATAATAACAGGTCTTGGGCTAGTGCTACTGCTCTTACGCACTCCCAGCCTATGGCATCGTTCGATATCGCCACACTTAACATCTAGTTTTGATGTAATCAGTCCAGTTACCGTTTCCAGCAACTCGTCTGAAGTTTCCCCAGAGTTTTCGGTTAAGCCATAGGTGAGCAGGTTATTTCTACGGGACCTATTCTCTAAATCGTCGTTTTTATGGTCCAGTTTACTAACAATCTCTCGAATGTCCGCTACGGCTTTCTCGAGTTCAGACACGCGTGGTGCAACATCAGTAATTGACGCAATGGACAGCTCAATTTTAGTTAATCGTTCTTTGAAGGATGCAACCCTAGAGGAAAGACCTGTTATCTCCTGTGCAATTTTAGTCTGCCCCGAGAGCAACTCTCGCAACATGTCTTCGACCTCAGGACCAGGGTTACTCTCCACATCACCACACACAAGCAACAGCATTCTCAAGAAATTCATCAGCACAAAAGATATATTCATGAGGTCTGCAGGGGGGTCCGGCAGCAGCAGTAAGAAATAGTTGCCACTTCTATAGCTTTTGAAATTGTACTTTAAGCTTACCTGCAAGACAGAGCATAAGAATCTGAAGCGAGTGCTTTCCATGCTGCCGCCGGACCCACTGAAGAGCAGCGGGCGATGCGATGCCTTTATACGTTCCGGTGTCGTCACAGATGTCGCCTTGTTCCTGATATCGCACCATGCGCACACACTTTCAGTCCAGCTGATACGGTTGCCAAGAAGTTTCTTTGCCGTAACCGAGCAAGCTACTTCGCCGCACGAGGAATAGACGGAACATTCGTTGACCGGCCCAGAGGGTACGTTGCTTGAAAAAGATGGTCCGTCCAGAACACTGTAGATTCCGGTGCATGCAGCAATCTGCAAGACAGAGCATATGATGACGCATGTGAAACGCTTTCATACAATGCGTATGAAAGCGTTTCTCCTGGTAGAAGCGGTGGGGCCAGAGCGAACACGAGGTGAACTAAGCCCGTCTCGCCGCTTCGGCAGCACGTAGCAGGCCGCACTTTGTTACTTTATTTAGCGGCCATGGCTCTACTCCATATTTCCTCATTGTACAGAAGTAATCGCTGTGCTGCGCACAACACTGTCCAGCAGGCATGGTCCTAGCGAGACAGCAGTAACATTTAACACCCAGACACCAATCGGGCCGCGGTGGAAGTTAAAGGTTGACAGCCGCTTTTTAATATTAGTTAAATGTACTGATGCTCAAACAAGTGTACGTTTAGTGCATTGTGTTGCGCACTTTCGCTACGGAGTATTCCATGATAATATGAGCTAAAGAATACATATCAGGTCAGGTAAGACTATTTATATGTGTAGAGGATGACGCCTAAACGAGAGAAGACTATTCATTTGAAAACGATGAGATGCCATTTTCTAAATTTCCGATCGTCCTCACTTTTAATACTGACACTTAAAGTAGTACTGGGCCAGTAATCTGTTACTCTTTCGAGAGTAGGGTTCGAACAACTTTTGGATAAAACCCATTGGCTCAAGTGCAGCAATACTACGTCGTTGACGTTCTAGTTCAATTTTTTTCTTCTTGCGGTGTCAAGTTTTCTTGTGGTGTCAAAAATCGTACAACCAGAACTGGTAGCATTTCCAGTTTAGGGTGCTACTTGGACTGCTTGCTTCTAATTTAACTGGTTATGGCTTCCAGCTGGCACCAGCTGCTTCCAGTTCAACTGGTCATGGTTCTCGTAGGTGGCCAGTTGAGTTGTAAGTGACACCAGCTGCCAACTGGTACCAAACACGACTGGAATTAACTGGGACCAGTTTAGTTGTAACTGCTACCAGCTGCTAACTGGAACCAGTTGCAACTGAAATCACCTACAACCTGTTAGTTCCCAACAGGGACTAGTTGATCCCAGTTTATACCGGTTAAAACCAGTTGGATTCCGAGTTGCACATTTTCACCTGGGATTAGCGAGTCTTTTCATCAATTTCATATTGACTAATCATGATGGCTTGGTTACTGTGGTGTCATGCTGCCAAACACCTCATTCTAGGTTCACCCGACAAGGCATCATTTTCTTTAGGTTTTGTGTGCATGTTAGCTACACAGATGCCATTAATAATCATTAGCTAGCCACGACAGCATCTTTCATTGATGAGCGCTGATGTGACCTGTCTCGTCCTCTGCATGCAGGTAGCGCTCTACAAGCAACCAAACTTTGAGGCTGGAGGCAACCTGCTGCAAGGAATGTATGTGCCTCGAGGTTCAGTGTGGGAGCGGGAGTACGATCCAGTGCACGTCCTGCTGCGTGCTGTGCATCGCAAGGACTATCAGGCATCCATGGACCGATACACGCACTTGTGAGTGGACATTTCCCACTTGTTTATAAAGTTCAGTGGTATCAGTGCATGTGGCAATCAATTATGTAATGTGCTTTGGGCTTGTGAAAATAGTGAGTTTTATGTTCTAATCAAATTCAAGTAGTATTGGTCACATATTGTAAGAAAAAATGGGCGTATTGTTGACAAGGGATAATTCAGACTCCACGGGGAACATAATTAAGTCTGAGTTATCAAATTGTTCAAAAAAAAAAACGAATGCATAAAAAAGTGCATTTATTGACACCTCGGTGACCCGGTGCCCGGAGAAAGCTGTCAGTGCATTGGTACACGCACTTCTGCTTACGTGCAACCAAGGCCCGTATTCGCAAACGCTCCTTCACTCAAGGGCTCCCCTCGACTTGACGAAGTCAAGGTGGAGCGCTGCGTTTCATGAACGCTCCTCCACACTTCCTTCGCCAAGGGAGGCCTTGGAAATGCTCCCTTCACTTGAGCGAACTGCATGCGCCGAGAAAAGCGCCTGATAACGCGAGTATTCGCAATTGTGGTTAAGAATTGCCTATCTATATACATTAAGAGAACGCCTTTTCTAGTTATTCTTTTTTCTAAATTGACATTACAGCAAAATACGTGCATTTAGAGTGGTAGTATTGTTTCCGTAAGCCTTGTGCTGATAGAGTTAGCGAAACCCTCCTTTAAGTCTGGCAACAGTCGAACCCAGGCAGCTGAACGAACAGCTGATCGCATTTCGTCTGCTGCTGAACGTGTCTACCTGCTTAGTTTATTTTGTCTTGTATGCGTCTATTAATTGCAGTTTATATTTACGGTAGTGTTTGCGTGTGTGTCGTTTGAGAGCCTACTTTCGCCGGGGTGACTAACGCACTACGTGAGTGATGACAGGAAGCGCAATAGATGGTTTGTTGCTTTGTTTACTTTCGCTTTGCTGAGAGCCTTCTGATCACTAATGTAGCCACCGAATGTATAACGCGGTGGAATGAGTATTTTTTACTATATATCACAGTATGTTGGCGTGCTTTTAGCATTTACCACCGCATTATGTATAAGGATTACTCGTACGTAAATTCGTTCTCGCTACGGGAGCACGTGCACAGTTCCTAATTTCAGGGGCCTGTGCAATGTTTATTTTTTTCATTTACTGCGAATTTCACCGTGGCGCTTTCGTAGTTGTTCCTCTGCCTATAATAGGAAATTTGAAAGACATGGCTCGCAACTGATATTCAAGGTTATACCAGGGTAGCGTTAAAAACTAGGCATGTTATACTCGTGGCTGAGCGTTCGAATTAGACTGCTACGCAAGTTAAGAAAAGCGATCGTGTGCCTTTCTTTCACTATTGGCGAAAAATACATTTTAAAGTTGTTTTCTTCATTTAGTAACATATATAGTCGGTTAACAGGGACTGGTGTGTGTGTGTGTTTGTCAACTTTAACATTTTAAACTTCCAAGGAATAAGTTATTGTTTTTGCATTGTTTTTCTATTTTCTATTTGCCCTGCATTTGTGGATGCGTCTAATTTGACAGATTCGCATAGAAGTAACCTTTAAATTTGTGTAGCTTTCGTCCCCAAGTTCACACAGCGGCAACGTCTTAAATTTTTTCCCGTCTGCTTCATCTGCATGCTCAGAAGCACAATCGTTAGTGCATGAATGACCTTCGCACTAATGTTTTGGATTTTATTTGCAATATAACTACTGGAAATACCTGGAAATACCGTGGAAGAGGAGTGGTGCTGCTTTATATAAAGCAAGTTTAATTTTTCTAGAACTGCTTTCCTGTAGAATCAGAGAAGTGGTTTTTGCAGTCCTGTCTCATCATGAATAGACAAACACGACGATAATTATGTATTGATAAATGAACAAAACAGAAGTTGTGAATGGCAAATGGACCTTTATTACATGTGGCTGATGAGGAGCAACGTGGCAAACATAAGAATGCAAATGAAAAGTGTTCATCAATCAAACATATGCAACCTACACACTGTAAAGATAAAGGACGAGCTCGGAGGACATCATAAATAAGATTAAGGAAGTAGACACCATAGCGCGCGTAATGCAGTGTAGCTGCACGCATTCACTGCTGTTTTTGTGCTTTTGTATACAGTCGTGCAAACTCTGCAATGCATTGATAATACGGCAGATTCTAGGAGGCCTTTTCTCTGTGTTCTTCTGTCGGCAGCTGGTCCCCTGCACAAAAGAGGCAAGAAATAATATTAGAAAAACGTAATAGCTTGGATACAAAAGCCGCATTTTTCTTTAATTCTAGCTGTGCACACATTCATTAGTATGTCTCGCGTTCAAGAACAGACATGGTTGAAGTATTGAGCTTTGACTATTTTGACACATGTTTGGCTCAGACACTTGGGCAGCTGACCAGGCATATGGGTATATAGTTTCATTGTCTAAGGACCCCACTGCAGTCGAGGGTCCCACTGCAGTCGCTTGACTTTGGGACCCTCGTCTGCATACTACATTCTACGAATTTTGTATTTTGACTGAATGAATAAACTGAATAAACTGAACTGAATAATTGCACGAATCAGGGCCATAGCCAGCAATTCTTCTTTGGGGGGGTAGGAATGGGGTTAAATTAAAAAAAACAATCACGTGAAGAGAAAGAAGAGAGAGAAAAAAAAGAAAGTTGGCACAGAGTGTTAGCTCTCTCTGACACGCGGTGCCACGCTTCCCCCTTTCCCGTCCCTGTCACGTAAACCCTCCTTCTTTCAACGCTGTGCATGAAGACAGCAAAAGAAAAAAAACTGCAGTTGAGTGTTAGTTCTCTCTCAAGTGCCGTCTGCTTCTCTCCGCGTGGAGACGCTTCTCCTTTCTCGTCATGTGCTGGCCATGCTGCAGCGGCGGCGCAGAGGGTAGTTGCTGAGATGCAGTCATTGTTGTCCCCGTTTTTAGAGGGTGTCGGTGCTGGACATTGCCGTGCACAACTTCCCTTGCCATGAGAATGCAGAAGCTGAAGTAGAAATGCTTTGCAAGCTGCGTGCGAAATTGACTCGCTGCAAGGCAAACATGCGCAGACGCGCATCACTGATTACTTCAATTAATGACGGATGTCCTGTGTTTGTGAATAAATGTAAGTCTTCTGAAACTTCCCCCTAGTGTGTTAGCTCAATGAGCATGCACAACTGAATGGTGAGCCCTCCGTTTGTTTTCACTAATTATAACAAATTTTCGGGCCCTTTCCAGTTCGAATGATTGAGATTCGACTGTAGCCTCGTCGCGGTGGTCTAGTGGCTAAGGTACTCAGCTACTGACCCGCAGGTCGCGGGTTCGAATCCCGGTTGCGGCGGCTGCATTTCCGATGGAGGTGGAAATGTTGTAGGCCCGTGTGCTCAGATTTGGGTGCCCGTTAAAGAGCCCCAGGTGGTCGAAATTTCCAGAACCCTCCACTGCGGCGTCTCTCATAATCATATGGTGGTTTTGGGACGTTAAACCCCACATATCAATCGAGATTCGACTGTATCATAGGAAAAATTGGCATATTTGTATTTGTCATAACCTAACTAACCTGTACAATATTTTAAAAATTGAAACAAGGCCTGTGCAAATGCCTCCTTTTCTCTTTTTTCTCTTCTTTTTTCTCTCCCCCTCCTCCCCCTCCTCCCCCGAAGGGAAGTGGAAACAAGTTTGAATAGTGACAGGATTAGGCTTTCAGATAATGCAAGGGATAACCTGTAAAATGTTACATTTTAAAATTTGCTATGCTTAGAGCATGTAAGCTGGTAAAAGAAGCTTTTAAACTTGATGAATCGATGCGACGGTAGTAGGTTCATTCAACGTTGGTGTGAAGCTTTGTGGCAGTGTGGATTTCTCTTGAATAGGTGTTTTCACGGCTTAGCATTTCTTCACTGCAGAGAAGTTACTTTTACAGAAAGTGTACACCTACGCATTCATTTCGAGTACTTCGTAATTTTCAATAATAAAAAAAATTTGAATCAAATTGAACTCAAACACTGGAATACTTGAAGAATTTGGATATCCACTCAAGCCTAATTTTCTTGCATTGGGTGATGATAATTGATCTAAACAGGCTAGCGATTTAATGAAGTTGTTCAGTTTTTATCACATGGTCATATTGGAGCAGGAATATTAGCGATTTTCTTTCCATATTGTTGAGCTTTTAGACTAACTGTGATTGAGCTCAAGTTTTGAAGCGACAATTGCTCAACTTGTGAAGATCGAGCTTGTTTAACGTAGCTTGTGACACTTAGTAAGCAACTTATGACATTAAGCTTGCTTAGTTTTATAAGTGACTTGCTTAGTCACATTCACTATTGCATGGTTGGATATCGGTTGTTTGTATATAACTGCAAAGCTCAGATAGAGGGACCGTCGCTCTAAAATTTTTTTCTGAAGTTCATCCTGGTGCTGCATTCCATGAAAGGCCATGGTGCCGGTGCACATTTTGTTTTTACCCAATGCTTCCCCAGCTCCTTCACTCTGGGCCACCCAGTATAATCCACCCCCGGTGCAGTTGGGGATTCTTGCCTTCAAGGAGACGCCCTGCCTTAAAATACTCGACACAAAATATAGAAACACAAGACAAAGATGTTGCTGTGAGGTTTCATTATGCTTGTTCAATTTTGCATCTTCCATGATAGGTTTTGTGCTGCCTTTCATATTGCATAGAATACTGAAAGTTGCGCATTTGCCTCGATGTTGATTGCATTTATGGCACTTCTATGGGGTGACCTAATACGAATGGGCAGTTATAGATTTCAATGCAGTTTTCTTATGTGTAACCCCCTCCTTGTCTCATCACTAGGTGCTGGTGTTGCTGGTCAGTGACGATATTGTGGCAGTCAAAGGGAAGTGGCTTTGTTTGTCTCGCAGCATGCGCCAGAATGGTCGGCTCAAGGGAAGTGCCACGCCCTGGCCCCCATTCCGGCTGCCTCGCAATGTGCACCCGGAGCTGGTGGACCCCCGCAAATTGCTGCAGTGCAAGACTATGCAGGCTGCTCTGTTCATCATCCTGTACAAGGTCAGCCTGCCATAGGCGGCCTCTCGGGCTGTCGTTTTTTTTATTTTTTCTTCCACTCTTGCTTACCATACCATATTTACTCGGACCTAACGTGCACCCAATAGGGGTGTACAATGTTTGAATAGATAATTCTTGGTGAGTTAGCATGCAATGTTAGCAAAAAAAGCTTTAGAGTTTAAAGGAAAATACTCCTCGTAAAAAAATTTTCATTTTTTACGAGGAGCTTTTGTTGCCTAGGGCAATGAAATTATTACCATTTGCAGTTGATATACGATTTTCTGAACCGTCAAGGGACTGCAGAGACGTCCAGAAAATCGGGCAGTCCATAAAAACGAATAAAGTAAGAATGCACATTTTTTAATAGGTATTTTTCGCTGATGGAGAGGGTTACCACAAGAGTACAGGATTCTCATTGTAATTCAGTAAATAATTGAGCTGTATAACTTGAAAAAAAGAGCAATGAAAGAGTCTGATGTAGCCAGTACTACCGCACGTGTAAACACATAGGTGCCAAAAAAAAAAAAAGTCGCTTATTTTTGTTTGCATGGTGTTCCACTTGTCTCCGCAACAATGTCCGCCTTAATTTCCGCTAATGTCATGCTGTCGCTGTACAACCATGACAGTGTCAGGGCTCGTGTCAACTCCGAGGTCATTGGCTGTAGGCACTGCCTCGATGATCTCGGGATCGTAGGCGTTGGAATCCTCCGTAACTTCATGAATAATTTTGTCATTGGTGAATTCCGCACACATCTCCGAGGTCTTCGTCAGTGTCTGTGAAGTCCTCAAGAGTTATCCCGGCTGGAATTGAAACACCGGCAGCGTGCAGATCATTGAAGGCAACATCTGTAGGTGGAAGTTTGTCGCACACGCTGTCCACTTTGGGCGAGACAGCCGTCTCGGCGTCCAGTAAGAAGCTCGTTTGAAGAAAACAATTACGGAGCATCTGTTGCATAACCACCTTCCACGTGTCTGCAAACATGCTGACGGCAGACCATAGGTTAAATGTATAGCATTTCCCGCTGTCGGAGCACACGCTGTACAGCACCATGCGGCTGTGACCACAGGTTTGACTAAGCTACGGCTACGGGTGGCAACAAGTTGGCACCATATGCTGTTTTGGGGGTACGGCAGCCGCGGCGCCTTGGCTTCGAGGATATAAAAACAACTAAAATGGTGTCGTCGATAGTTATTTTGAGCCTGCTTTTAGCAGTGAAAAGTCTGAAAAAATCGAACGGTGAAAGCTATGAACGTCCGGAATTCGGGACCTTTTAATACGTTAACTTCATGAAAAACTTGACAGTGCCACAGATGAGTCTGGGAAATCAGGCATGTCCTGAATTGCGGGTGTTCGAGAAATCGAACGTCGTCTGTATTTAGGTTTTCATGCTGATTTCAAATATGTAATAGAGTTTTGTTTGAAGTTTCAGTTTATGTTTTGTACCATGACAATGTGTAAAATACAGCTCCTTCTAGACACCCCTTTTCTACTACTACACTTTTATGTTTATGAGCCATTGGCGGTTGTAGCGGAGCCTGAAAGCAGCTTTGCTGCAATGTAGGTGTGATGGAGTGATTAAGGGGGCTGTTGGGGCAAGTTGGTAAATGTTATCTTATGACAGTGCACACACATGAACACAAAAGAATTATGAAGAAACTGGCGACACGAGCACTCATGTTTTTTCCTTATTCGTTTGTGTTCGTATGGGGTGAGGTGTATTGAAAATAAGACAGAGCCATTGCCAGTTAGACGTTGACTGTGTTTGTCCTTGGGAAAATAGTTTGAATAGTAAAATTCTGGTGCATATTAAATAAAATAGCATACAGTTAAATCTAGATATAACGAAATTGATAAATTCCAGGAAAAATTTGTTATAAAGAGGATTTCGTTATGTGGAAGTGCGGTACGAAAATTTGGAAAATAAACGCACAATTTAAGCAAAAGGGGGACTGAAGGCAGAGCTAACCCAAAACACTTATTTTACAGTAAAAAACTGCAATATTATTGCGATACCAATTATATGGACACTATCGGTGGGTTTTTGCTGTTGCTTCCATGTTCCATAACAAGTCCAAATTGATAACATGCCCGCGCATGGTAGCTTTCACGAGCAGCTAAAAGTAAAAGCACGCGAGCGCTGCTGAAGCAGAGATCAAATGAGTTGGCCCATCCCTAGTGCCTGGAAAGTGCATAAGATACCATCTCCCGCATGTTAGAACTGCTGTCGAATGCTGAAAAAGAAAGTAAACCACCCGTCTTGAACGACCATGAAACAACGTAGGGGGGGGGGGGGGGGGAGTTGCTTGAGTAGCAGTAATGAACTTGGATTTTAAGAAGGGTGGTCGCGATTGATAGCATGCTTGCTCTCTCGACGAGTAAATCAAAGTGCTTTCAAGGCGAAGAGACTGTGGGGCGCATGCAGTGAAACTATGCACAGTGAAACACAGACACCGCGGAAAACTATTCGGTAAAGCGCTCTCCATATGCAATGCAACCCCACATATCTGATGCTAAATAAAAGCGCGGCACTGCCAATGTGTAAAAGTAGTTGTTTTGTGCCCGCGGCAGCGAGAACGGCGGCAACGCCAGTTTGTAGGGTGTATGCCCGCCTGCCCACCTTGCGCTCACCCGCTCAGCGCTCGCTCTCACCTGGTACGTCCTGCGCGCTGCCACCGCTTGGCACTTTGTTGGGTCAGCGGCGGGGCAGCCGCGGAAGATACACGCTTGTACCAAAGTGCTAAAATGTGGAACAAAATTCCTAGATTGTCTGTGGGGAAAAATCATTATACAGTCAAATCTCATTTAAATTGAACACGCTTTATTAAATCTTCCCGTTCATTTGAACTCAGGATGAGGTCCCGTCAAAGCTATGTGTATTCCAATGGGCGAAAATGCTCTGTAATGCGCAAGCACTTGCGACGGTTAATTCGAACATATCGCGCTCCGAAAATGCTCTCAGTACCCTGCCCAATCCTGCGGCGGCACCTGCGACACCTCAACGCTGCGCGTGAAGGAAATGAAAAGGAAAAAAAAGCTGCGGTCGAATGCTTGCTCTCTCTCAAACGCCGATCGCCAACGCGCCCGTGTCACGCTTCTCCTTTTTCCGTACCGGCCATGTAAATACGCTTCTCCTTCCAACACCGCGCACGATGAGAGAGAGAGAGAAAAAAAGAAAAGAAAGGAAGCTGTCGCTGGGTTGAATGAATGTGTGGTTGAAGGAAAGGAAAAAGGCAATATCTTCTGCTGCCCTTGCCTCTTGCGGGAGCTCGGCTCTGCGCCCTGAGGGGGCGGGCGGGATCTCTCACACGTCGGTGCCACGCTTCCCCAATTCCCGTCTCTGCCATGTAACCCTTCTCCTTGCAACGACGTGCACGAAGAGAGCCAAGAAAAAAAAAAGCTGTCATGGTGTGTTGGTTTTCTCTCAAATGCCAATCTGCTTCTCTCCGCGTGGAGACGCTCCTCCTTTTTCGTCGCGTGCTGGCCATGCTGTGGCTGCGTAGCACTACGCAATTGTTGTTGTCGTTGTCTTTAGAAAGTGTCGGCGCTAAACACGCGCAACTTCTCTTGCCTGGAGAATGCTGAAGCCGAAGTAGAAATGCTGTGCAAGCTACGTGTGAAATTGACTTGCTGCAAGGCAAACGTGCGCAGGCGCACATCACCGATTACGTCAATTAAGGGGGGACGCGGCCCTTGAAAACCGAAAAATCGCGGAGAAGTAGGTTTTTGAAAAACCACATTTTTGGGTTGTATGTCTCATAAACTACCTATTCTGTAATTATCAGCACCTAATTCAACCGCGAAGTGCAAAAAAAAAATACTATTTTCGAGGCCGCCGTGGGGTCCAAAACAGGCGCAAATCCCGAAATCAAACCAAACTTCGCGCGCGCGCCATTCCCGGACCATGCAGTCGTCCCGCGCCATCTTGGTGTTGTTTTGACCGTGAATTCTTTCTCTCTCGTTCGCCGCCTTGCAAAATGGCGTCGGCAGCACAGTTGAAATGCTATTGGCGTTTTCCCGCGATGCGATGCGGAGCGCTGATTGGCTAGAGCAGGGCATTCATATCTCGCGGGAGAAAGCGTGCCCGCCATTGGCTGCTGTGCAGCAGCGGGGGCGGTCGCTCCTCTCGATGGCGCGTCCAGCGCGCTCGCTTCGTTGTTGCTCTCTGCTCCGTCCGCCCCGACAGACGTCTGCTTACGAGCCGTTCTTCGCCTTGTGCTATCTTTTCGATCATTTTCTCTCGTTTTTTTTTTTCTTTTTGCACTAGTTCTGTGCCTTTCGTCTTTGTTGTTGCGGGCGATGCCAGCAACGAAGCCGAAGTCAGTGCGGAAGTCCGGTGCGCGGAGGCGCGCTATGCGGCTTGTACGATCATCGAAATTCCGCTATTCTGCTGCGGGTGCCGACTGCGTAGACGCTTGCAGCGACGGAACTGTGTTGTCGGCTGTCGCCAGTCGAGAATCCGACACATTGAGTGTGGCTGGAGCCGCAAATGCACCGAGTGTTTCCGAGATCGCCGGGCTCGACACGTGCTCCGAATCGATGCCATCCAGTGTGACACCGAGTGCTTGTGGTATCGCCGGACCCAGCACTTCGTATGAATCGGTGCCGTCATCGAGCGTGAGTGGACCGTCGCTTCATCTGCGGATGCGTTTCCTAACGAAGGAAGAAATCGATGCTAATGCGAAACGCCGTGACTCCGTTCGCGCTGAACTCGAGTCTACGCCGGCGACGCAGAAGAAATTTCAACTGATGCAGCCAGCTCTTGCACCTGCAGTGACAAGTGAGGGCGAACATTTTTCGCTCGTTCAAATGAACATCTTTAACGTCGTGCTCAGCCGCACAGTGTGCAAAGAATGTTTGAAAGGTGCTATGGCTGTCCGAAAGAGCACCAAGCTTGGACTTGCAACAAAACTTGAAGTCGTATGCGCCTCTTGTGGCACCGTCGATAAATTATGGACATCACCCCGCAAAAAGGACACGCAGGCCTTCGATGTAAATGTCCGCGCCATAATGGCTATAAAGCAAATAGGCAAGGGGCAAACAGATCTTAATGACTTTTGGGCTGCCATGAACGTCTCTTACAGAGGTCTTCACCGCAAGACGTTTCAAAAGCACTTGAAAGAGACGTTCAGGAAGCCAGAGGCCACCGCTTTGGAGAAGTTTTATGCTGATTCTGCCACAGCAGTGATCAAAACATATAAAGAAATGAACCCCAGCTTCTGCAAGGACATCACCGTAGTGTACGATGGCACATGGCATAAGCGGGTTCACACATCACACATCGGAGTGGGATCGGTAATTGACTTCTTTACAGGTCTCATCTTGGATGCTGTAGTTCTTTCAAACCACTTCCTTGGATGCCAAACAGGGCCCAAACCTGGAGATGCAGCATACGAAAGCTGGCAGAAGCACCACATTTGCCAGAAAAACACAGACGCAAAATCGGGAAGCATGGAAGTGGAGGCAGGCTTGACTCTCTTTGGGTGGCCTGTATCCAAGCATGGCCTGCGGTACACCACTCTTGTGTCCGACGGAGACAGCCGTATCTTCGCTGCCCTCACAGAAGAGAATGTGTACGGGCTAGTGCCAATTGTAAAAGAAGAATGTCTGAACCATGTTCAGAAAAGGATTCGAAGTGCTCTTCGAAACATTGTGCAGAAAAGTGATAAGCCACTGAGTGGGAAGGGGAAGCTGACTACAGCCCTCATTGAAAAGCTGACAGGATATTATGGTTGGGCCCTGAGAAACAATTCAACTGACCTAACAGTCATGCAGCGTGCAGTGATGGCAACATATCACCACGTCACATCGACTGACCAGGACCCTCGCCATGAACTTTGCCCAGAGGGGGCTCAATCGTGGTGCCGCCATAGAGCTGCTGAGGCAAAGCGTGAGCCACAGCCAAAACATAAACACAGCCTACCGGACTATGTCGCTGCAGCTATGCTGCCCATCTACGAAAGACTGTCACAAAAGTCGCTTCTTCAACGCTGCCTGGGAGCGAAGACGCAAAATGCATCAGAATCATTCCACTCCATTCTGTGGTCTCTGATGCCGAAGAAACAACACTCATCCTTGATCGCGGTGGAAACATGTGGTGTACACGTATCCCGAAGGAGTACGGCCACCAGCGTGGGTCCGGTCTTAGCGAGCCGCAGGGCACGCATTAACCGTCGCCGTGGCGAGAACACGATACTGCTCAAAGTCGCAACACTTTATTGTGGCAACACCAAACGCAGTACAGCCCGTTGCAAAAAGGCGCGGCGGGAAAGCAAGTAGGCTTATCCACGCCACGGGCACAAAGTACTACACAGGGTGCCACGAGCACGTCTCCGCGGTAAAGGTGATCCATGGAGACACCGGAACAAAGGCCCGGTTGCTCGAGCGAGGGCAAAGGCGCTCACGTTGGCTTCGGAGGGAGACGGGTCGGCGTAGCTAGGCCACGCACTAGGACACCTTACTGCCCTTCGGCCGTGAGTACGCAGCGGGGCAACAAAAGGTGAGCGTTCGCCTCGGGCGCGAGGCGCCGTCGGCGAAGTCCAACGAGCCCCGAGCGACGGGACTCGGCGGACGGAAAATAATGCGTGGCTCACCGTTTGAAGTCCCGGAAAGTACCCACTGCTCCCGACGCAGCGCGCGAAAACCTCTCGGGAGGCTCCCCGCGCGGCCCCACAGTCAACATCCGCTACCGGGTGAGGGAGTTAAACGTCACTCCGCCCTTCCCAGCGCGGCAGACAGCAAAGGAGGGCAGACATGTCGGGACATGAGAATGGCAGAAAAGGCGGCAAAGCCCGCGCAAAGGCAGCGGGCCAGCCTCAATTCCCACAAACAGCACTGCATGAAGCAGTGCTGCGCTACAATGCCGGCTGCTGCAAAGCAACCCAAGTGATATCGGACTCCATTGGACTTCAACCAGGTCATCTGGCCATCCAGCGAGCTCGTGAAAAAGACGCTTTACGCCTAAAAAAGAATTCTAAAAGACACCAAGAGAAGACGGAGGCCAGGCAAAAGAAGAAAAGAGTGCGCCAGGACACTTCTAGCTACTGTACTGGAGCTTTTTGAAGAAAACACGTGTTTTGAACTTTCTCGGCCTGTTTTCTCGGAATGGATTTTTTTGCTAGTTGTGGTGCTGAGGAAAGCAAGAACTCGAAAACCGTTCATCAGATTTGTGTGCCGTTTTTTTTATTCTGTTCCTGAATGACCTTGCAAGGGCATAACAAGCTCTTTTTTTGAAAATTGGTGCTGTTAATTTATAATAAACAATTAATTTTTGGTGAATCTGGTCATTACTGGTTACATCAAATTCAAAGTTGCGTGAAAATTTGGGGGGGGGGGGGAATTAAAAAAAAACGGCTTTGTAGCACCCTGGGATAGCTATCAAGGAATGACCACAATGAATTTCAGCTTTCTACTATGTGCTGGGATTTCTCACGACTCTCCTCAGGCACCCATGTGAAGCACCCAGTTAAACCTCAATAACTCTGGAACTAAGAAACACAGCTTCGTGAAACTTAGCAGTTGTGCTAGTTTTATTGTAGTGAACAACCCCTGAAAGTTTCATCCAGATATTTTAAAAAATAAAAAAGTTCGGTCTCCAGGGTAGCCTCCCCTCTTAAAGGGCCACTCACCAGGCCCCATACCGAATTTTAGTTAGACACTGGAAGTTGTTGGGTGTCCGATGAGGAACGTTTTGCCACAAAGATTTTTCGAATCGGTTCATTACGAGCGTAGAAAACAGGTTTTCTGAAGTGGCGCAAAATGAGGGTGAGAGGAGGCAAATCGAAACCCTTGCCGCTCCTCCGCGTAGCTTTCACAAGCCAAATCTCTTCCTCACCTTCTCCGGCGTCCGACCAAGAGGTGACGTGCACATGACGTGCCCGAACAAACCCAGCCCCCTTGCACGCGAGCAGCGTTGCTTTGTTAACCAGCGTTTATTTTGTGGTCTTCTGCCTGTTTCTGCAAGATTGTTTGGAAACGCTGACTTAGACGCGGTAGAGTAGATGAGCACAATGAGTGCGCGAACGCGTAGGAGCGTTCCACGGCGGTCGTCTGCTCAATGCGCTGACCGCGGGGACCCGAACGCATGCGAAACGGCGGCACATTTAGCCCCGCGTCTCGTAGCATTTCACGGGAAAAAAATGTAAGAAAAATGTGCACAATTTTTTTATTTCATCTCATTATTTATTTCAAGCTTTATTCATCTTTTAAAGCAACAAATACATAAACTGCGCCTGTTGTGTTAAATAATTTTTGCCATGTCACGTGGTATACTGTTGACAACGTCAGAGCAGAGTTGTCTACATAGAGGACCAATGTCACCGCATTGCCGTGTACGTGGGGCCATCCCTACGCCCACGTCATGCCCTCATTCTCTACGCGTGCGCCGGTAGAGGGGAGAAGGAGCAGCTTTCATCTTGAAATTTGACCCATTTCCGCGGCGCGTAGAGTTGCAAATTTTGGCAGACGTGATCATGAACACTTCGTCTACGCATTGCGCTTGTTAGCTCAAAATTGTCAAACCTGGTGAGCGGCCCTTTAATAACGGATATCCTGTGATTTGTGAATAAATGTAATTCTTGTGAAGCTTTCCCCTCGTGTGTTAGCTCAATGCACATGCGCCACTGCATGGAGAGCCCTCCGTTTATTTAGCTTTCATTAATTTGAACTTCTTTTAACTCGAACAAATTTTCCGGTCCCTTTGAGTTCAAATTATCAAGATTCGACTGTATCAAGATTGTCTCCCGCTGCTACTCTGTAACATAGAGGTCGCAAATACATGTGCTTCTATGGAGCAATGGCGGGGAATTGAAAAATTTCGTTATATCGAGGAATTCGTTATATGGAGGTTTGTTATAAGCAGGTTTAACTTTATACTATCAGAAAAATTGATAAAGTTTCCGATATTTGTGCATCCCTGTTGTAAAATTTGGTCAGGGAGCTTATTAGTTTGTAGTTTCCTACGAATCCTCACACAGTGTCTTTTTTGCAGGCGCTCAAAGACCCAGAGGTTCCGGAGCAGGTTCTGGCACTTGCTGTTTACCTGCTGGAGATGGCCCTGCAGTTCCATCCGCACTCTTTGTCCCAGAAAGTGAGTGTGAAGCTAGCTTGGGCATCTGCTTTGCAGCATCCCATTGGACAATCCAGCCTTCCCTCAATGAACATGTTCCACCAACTGCCCAATCGCAGCCATGGCTGCTGGCTTGTCCAAGTTGCATGAAATTCAATGACAGAGACGAAGAGAACAGGCTGTGAAGATCACAGGCATTGTAATAGGAATAGGCATGTGTAAAGTGTAACAGCGACGAGGGAAGCAGCGATGACGACTCGGAATGAGAGCGGCATCGGCAAGCGCGGCATCTTTGTAATGCAAATAACTAGAAGCAGCACGAAAAAAGAGACAACAAAGGAACACACACAACAAGACTAGCGGCTGTATGTTTCTTGAGTAATTTGCATCATGAACCAACTGCTTTGTTTCATTTTCATGTTCAGTAAATGTTTTCCTTTTGTGAACACTGTTTCATTCGGCCTACATTCGTGGGTTTTTCTTTTTTCCCCGAGCATCGACTTTTGGCGATCGGCTTAGAATCGCGGTCGGACTAGATTTGAGTAAATAAGGTACACACTAGAAATGCGGATCTTAAATGTTTTTCGCGCTCACGTGCCATCATGCACGACAATCAACCAAGAAAGGGAATGCGCACATCGCGATGAGGCCACTGAGTCACATTGCATTCATGTGATTTTGGTGCCCTTGGCAGTTGGCCCCTCTGAAAACACTGTGTCCATGCGTTACAACCTACAGCAAATAGCGCATAATGTACCGGTGCACTCACACATGGTTAACAACCAATGAATTACACTGCATTTTCATCACCTGCACGCAAGGAGGGACCGAAACTTGTTATATCGCGGCCGAAAAGTTATCAATCTTTGTCAGAGTAAATGCAGTTTCTGGGCTTCGGCAGGGCACAGTGTTTGATATATCGTATGTTACGCTCTGCGAGAGTTCGGTATACGCGTGCAATGGTCTCATAATTTTGTATGGGAATGTCAAGGGAAATTATCAACAGTTTGGTATAGTCAATAATTTGGTGCATCCGAGTTCGATATACCTGGGATTTACTGTGATGATGCTTCAGAACTGCACTGCTGGTCCGACAGTGGCACAGGGAGACTAGACTGATGCAAATCATACAGAGGCTGCCACAGCTCAGTACTAAGAAATAAATGGCTGAAATATGCAATAACATGTTACTCCTCGCTATATTTCCTTTATCTGAAAAGTGCTAGCATTATAAAAACAGAAAACTTAAGCGTGAGGCCAGTGCACTCGGTGCGGTGAGTGCTGTGGCATACATCCCTTTCCCATGAGCACTTGCATACCCTTTGGTGGCACTCGTCTGCTTGAAAGAGGTGTGCTTGTTGAGAGGCGATCTAATAAATGCAATACATCAAAAAACCTGCTGTTGACAATAAACAGGACGACATAACCTGCTCTTTCGATAAAGTGCAGCCTAACTTTGATGACAATGCATAATAAATTAATAGTCTCATTTTCTAAAGGTAACTTTTTATAGTTTCTACTCTTCATAACTTCCACAACTGAGTGTATGCTGTTTTTCTTGCTAAAAATTTGGGTGCCTGTTTAATTTTTTTTTTGTAGTTAGGTGCTCCATTTTCACTTTGAAGTAAACTTACTTTAGACCTATATGATTGGGATTCCAGTTGAATTTGGAGTCCCAATTTGAAATCCTGACAATCAAATCAAGCTATTATTGTATCGAGTCTGTGCAGAGTATTTTATTTATTTTTGCCTGTCAGTCAACCTATCATATAACTTGACCAATTTTATTGGCCTTTTCTTCTCAAATTAATGGAAGCTGACTTTTTTTTTTGCTTCTGTATTTTCTCCTCATACACTGGTGCGACTTTTTTTAATGGCTTGTGTCGCTGGCAGGATGAATTGACTTCAGTGGCCGAGGTGACGGACTTGTCATTGTTGGAGTGGTTTCCGGAGACATGTGTGGTACAGAATGCACTGCGCACGATTAAGACTGTGCTGCTGCCCGACGGCCTAGCACTTGCTCCGACTGGCGTCGACGATATGGAGGTCGACCAGGATCCCGACGAATTTCTCGAGGTGGCTGAAGATGCGCTTGCTTTCTTGTTCCCATCGGCCAGTGGCAACTATCCAGAGCTTACGGCTGGCACGGAGACAAATGAAGCAGGTAATAACGACCATAACAGCACTGGTCTCCTCATTTTGTCAGATTGAGTTTGTATACTTGTGAGCCCTAACTTTTCCCAAATTGTTATCTAAGTAACATTCCCAAACTATAGTGATTTTCCGATAGTGTTCTCTATAAACGGCTCATTTGACAGACCCAAGAAAATCAATGGGAATCATAATAGTTGTTTTTAGTGTAGAAACACACGTGAGAAATTAATTAGATACAGTAAGATCTTACTGCGACAGAATTTTTGCTACAAAGGAAAATTTTCTGTTTCCCATCAGCCGCCCCTAGAAAGCAATGCGAAAAATTGTGTTGTCACACCGAATAAATTTCTTGATTACATTTAAAAAAAAAGACGTCATGTTGAAAAAAAACAGAGAGAGAGAGAGCTTGCATACGACACAACTGTTAGTGGTTGCAATTGTATATCACGATGCGCAGCGCTTGGCTTCTGAGCAGGTGAAACAAGCAGTCATTTTTGTGATGCAATGTGATAGACGTATGACGTCGTGCTTTCTGCTTGCAAGGCATCAATGCCCTTCAGCTACCACCATCGGGCCAGCAGTTGGCTCTGCCCCCCTCCTCGCCAACCCCAGAAACCGGTGCGCTGGTTCCCGTGAACCCGGAAGCTGGCACAGTAGTGCCTGCCTTCTACAGTGGTCCACCGCCGTCCTTCTACGCCCAACCCTTGGCGGGTCCTTCTATGCCCAACCCTTCCCCACCAGCCCTGCCTGCACCGAACAGTACAGCTGCTGCAGAGCCAGACACTAGCACCTCCCTAGTACCCACTGCCACTGGCGGTGGTGCCACAGCGGGGTCATCTGTTGGTAAGTGCGTCCGCCTTATAAAAGAAAGGGTCCGCCTCATTAATCAACACATATTTTCACCCAATGCAGTGCTGTTGTCTTTGTCTATGCACTGAGTTAGTGGCTATGACATTGCTCTGCTGAACTTTGGAGGCCAGGGGTATGATCCCAGCTTTTGTGGCTGCATTTTAATGTTGATGGAACATAAAAATGCTTTTGTACTTGCATTTAGGTGCACTGTAATACAACCTAAGTGGAATAAAACTTGATTATCGGCTACAGTGCACATCAGTATTAGGTCGAGGTTTGGACACATGAAACAGTATAATTTAACTGACTTGGTTTTAAAATTATGAGTTGTCTTTTTAGGCAATGAAAAAAAGTCATTTGCATTGCAGGTACGCTTTGCACATGCAGCTTCCTACGAAAATTACTGTAAGAAACTACGTCACTGCTCTCGCTCGCCATGTAATTGTCACGTAAGGAAGTTGTTATCAGTGTGCATGTGACTTTTAGCAGTCTTTCCATTTAATGTGTATTGCATGACACTATGCAAAAAATACTGTGCAGGAATTTTCCTCAGGACTTGTCTGAGTGATGTGTAGCTGCAAAGCTTTATTGCAGGAAATTCTATAGTTTCGGCCTTCTCTGAAACATCATGTGATATTAGCGCAGTGTCTTTAAGTTTCTGTCTAACTTTAATAAACATCCACCACAGCCCCATGGAAGACATCCTATAACCAGCGAAACGCATGTTTGGCATCAAACTTTCATAAATTCAGAATTTTCCTGATATTTAGATTGCTCCATGTCTGCTTTACATGGTGACCTATGATGACTTTTATTCTACGATAAGAAAATGGGGAAGAAATTTGAACAAAGCCTTTTGTAAACATTTGTTTCATATTGACGTCGCACTCATGGAGTTAAGATAGATTCAGCTTCTGCAAGCAGGGATGCTTAGCTCAGGAGGTAGGGCACTGGGTTTCTGTGTGTTGAGCCCTAGGTTCGAAAACCAGCACTGCCAAGAATATTTATTATGTTTTATACATTTATTTAGTATTAGCTATTCATCTTACATTGCAGAGGTACAAACGTGCAGTTCTTTCATTCAGTTGGCAGAGTAATGCTTGTGCATTTGATATGAACAGAGAAGTCAATCTGATCCTATCTTGCCGTAAAACATGTGCTTGGATTTTGTTCTTTTGGTGAGCATAGTGTGCGTAATGTTACAAGCTCTGCTTTTTTGCATTTTACTCCTGTCTGTCGACATTTCTTGTTTTTCCTCATATCAGCCAAAGTTGTCGTTTTGTTGAATCACCATGAAACAATGCTACGCATTCGCAGACCAGGCTGCTGGCCACTCGGGGGCTCTCGTGCCTTCGTCATCCACCCTGGTTCCCACCACGCATGGACCAATGGGCAATGTGCCCAGCGATGCGCTCGTGCGTCATCACGGCACTGCCGGTATGTCTCAGCGTAGTTTAGCTGGCCCCGGTGGGGCCTTAGTTCCTTCACCGAGGTTTCCAACAGCACTGTGGGGTCGTGTTGCACGCCCCCTACCCTCCTCCGAAGGGGGTGCCACTGGTGCGGCAGCGAGCAGTTCCGTAGGTGCACTCGTGCCACTGGGGCGAGGCCTAGCTCAGCTGAGCCGGCGCCTTCGGTCCCACGGATTCCGGTCAAAGTCTGGGAGCGGTGAACTGAGTGACGGAAGCGGCAGCAGTCACCCTCAACTGCCCACCTGCACACCTCGCCACGAGCTTGAGGGCGGCACAGCCTTGAAGGTGACTGTCCTTTACATTCCGTGAAATCTAGAGCAAGTGCCCCCCCCCCCCCCCTCTTTTTTTTTTGAGATTTGCAGTATGTGACAAAGCAAGCGCTCCCCGCCCTCCCCTCCTGTCAATTTCACTGTTTCATTCACTATTTTTTTAACAGTGCTGCATGCGCACTCAAAAAAGAAGCATTTGATTAGAACCACGGGTGTGCATTTTTATTCTTAGAAGCTCTTTTTCCGCCATCATCAATTTTGCTCCGTGACATCCAAAGCCCCCCCCCCCCCCCCCTCCTTGTCGGATTATGTTTTACCGTAAAAGGGAGTGGATATGCTCAAAGTAAATGTCTCTTTTGACTGCAGGCAGGCATGTAAAATAATCTACTGGGAAGTTAAGCTATAGGGGCCTTTGCTGATACTTCAGGCTCTGGTCCAAAGTTGCTTGCTGTATTTGTAGCTGGAGTTGTTGCTGCAGCTGCAATGAATAGGCCACCAGTTTATTTAGGATCTCAAGGGGAAGGTAAAGTCATCGCTACATGCACTAGTATTTAGTGGAACCCAGTTATAAAGACGGTTTTAGCAGTATACCAAATACAGTTAACATATTTTGTTCCTGAAGTGATTAGTGCAATTGGTTAAATGTAGCAGGGATTAGAGGTAAGCAAGAGGCAGAAAAAACAAATTCTCAGTCATAACAGGGAAATTCAAGAGGTATTTGAAGTGTTATCTGTGGGACTCCTCTGCTTTCTGGTAGTGTACCAACTGCATTAGTACGGCTCATTCACCTAGCATTTGCTGCAGCTCTTGTTAGATCTGCCACATTCAATGTGAAAGTCAAGGGAGGCACTGTGAGCTAATAAAGGTCCACAACTCTGACTGAATTATTCATTCGAGGTTGCATCCAGCATCTTAGATGCAACATGGTTGGGCAGCACGAAAAATAGAAATGGACAGGGGCAGAGTCCTACATACCGTCCTTGCATAGGCCCGGGCTTGCAAGAAGGGTTGTGCAATATATCTTTAGCTTTCTTGGCTCTTCTTTTCAGTTTGGCCAAAATAGTCATAGTATTGAAGTCACATGTTAGAATTTTGTCTCATTGACTGTGTGCCATTCCCGAGTTCTGTCCTTGTGTGGAGTATTTCTGGGAACCTGCACTTGTCCTGTCCCCTTCTCCATCATTGTCGATTTTGTTTTGCTTCTTTCCAGAAGTCAGAGAATGAACCAACCAGCTCAAATAAGTTTTATTACTAGAATGTTTTGTTGGGCTAATTGGTTCATTCTGAAGAAATAATGACACAACCCGCGTAGACGGAAAAAAAGGGGTGGGGGACAGGATAGGGCATCAATAGCGTCAGGATAGGGCACCCTATCCTGTCCCCTTTCTTTTTTTTCTCCTTCTATGTGGGTTGTGTCCTTACTATTTCTTCACAAAGTTTCTTTGCAACCAGTCTCAGTTTCAGGCATGTTTATCACAGGCCCTCCCTCCTTCGGATGCGCCACGGCCAGTTGCAGATGTAGACGAGAGCATAGTGTCCCTGCTGCTCAAACTGCACTCGAAGCTGTCAGGCCAGCCGGACTCGTACCGGCTGCCAGACAAAGACAAAGGCGGCCCCACTCCCGAGGAGCAGGAGAGAGACCGGATTGGTGCGGGGCCCCACTTCCTGGGCCTTTTGCTCGACAAACTTGTCCGGCTGACGCGTACTGCCGACCTGGAGTCGCCCATCGAAGAAGTGCGGCGGCGCATCTGGCCACCCCAGCCGTGTGGTGGCGAGGGAAACTCGGCCACTTCGAGCACTTCAGTCGCAGCCCGGGAGGCAACCGACCGCGAGGAAAGGTGGGTGCAAAGGCTTCACTGTTGCATTCGTTTTGCTTGTCATTGCTGCAGGGGCACCAGGTCTGACAGATCAGGCTGTGTGACCTCTCTATTATACTTGCAGAAGACGTAGAGCGAAGGAGCGACAAATGAAGCTCATGGCAGAGTTTGCCAGCCGACAAAAGTCTTTCCTCAAGAAAGCCATGGAGATTGGTGAGTATGTTTGAAACCCATAGTTTCACTTTTGACCCTCTTATACCGAGTTTGTAATAGAGGGTTCGGAAAGAGAATATATTAAGGGGGGAAGTGGGTCTTAGAACGGGAAAAAAATGGTCAGAGAACCAATTTTTCACAAAGCTTATTTTCGGGGCGTTTGTACTTTTGTGCATCCTACCCTCAAATTGCTAGCTGAATTCGGTCGGGAAACGTGATAAAATCAGACCTCAATGCACCCCGGTCTCACTAAAATGCCCCCAAGAGGAAGAAATTTGTTCGAACTTCCCACGTGCCATGTGCGGTGGACCGAACACCACCATTTTGGGCTTGATTTGAAACTGTTTTCTTTGTGCACATTTTGCGCCATCTCAAAATGGTGTCGCTCATGTGGAAAGGCTGCTGTCGTGGTTTTTCTGAAGGTCGTTTCCATATCACTGATTAGACCTCACGTGGCGCGCTCCGAGTCTCCCATTGGCTGGAGTGACCAACGAGTCATCTTTTTTTTTTTTGTTTTGTGTTCCCTGCCATAGCTGTCCGTTTGTGTGCGTCTGCTTTTGTGATCGTGCGTGTTTCTAAACGCACCGTGTTTCGGCTTTGCACCAGTACTTTTTCACCGCGATCGAGATGCCTGGAGGCTTTCGTCTGAAACCATCGATGCGACAAGCTTTCGAAAGCCGTAAAAAAATGGCCTTGGAAGGCGCCCGAAGGCGCCCGGCACTAGGGCCCTTTGGCAGCTAGTTGCAGTCGCGGCCGGATTCGTTAAATCTGGCAGAAACATTCACGACGCTGTCTACTGACGTTGGTGTGGGACCAAGTTCGACGAGCGATACACTTCGGATTGATGCTGCGTACTACTCAATGGCAGAGCAGGTGCAAGGAGTTGAGAAATCGACGCCAACGAAGACCCTTTTCTCGGGAAAGTCGGCCACCCGAAAGTTCAACCCCCTTAGAGTCTGCACTTACAGCCTTCGCCACCCGATTTTCGGCAGCACCTACACAGCCAACGAGCTCGGAGTTGACGCAAGCACTGGTACCATTGTCATCTGTGAACAGCGACAGCATGGCGTGTTGCTGAAATTAAGGCAGAGATCATCGCGGGCAAGTGGAATGCCTTGCAAAAGAAGATAGGAGACTTTTTTGGGCCAACGTGTTGACCACTGAGGTAGCACCAGCCACATCGATTTGTTGTTTTGTTTTGATAAATGGCTTTTTTCAGAGCCACCTAAACGATGCATTTACAAGATTGCAACAAGAATTTTGTACTACAGCCGTGACCCTCTGTGTCAGCAAAAAATACCTATAAAACAGGGTCATTTTTGCGGGCATTAATTTTTGCGGGCATTCGTTTTTCCGGATGAATGCCCGATTTTCCGGACTATTTCATGGTACCATGAGGATCGGGAACACAGCAACTTATTACCCAGGGCAGCATGCTGCCTGACAGCTTGTCATTTAAGCCTCATACCCCACAGCTTTTGCAGAACACATCCACAGCTTGTCATAGTGGAGTTCTGATAATGCTTTCCACATAGGAAAAATTTTTTAGAAATGATTTCAAGGGTGGAATAAAGCACATTTTATTTTGTTTTGTAGGGGAATAATGGGATACATGTGTATAAATTTGGGGTAAAAGTTTTTTATAGAAAATTTTTCAGTGCATGTCAAAGCTTCAAATGCGATTTTCTCAGCTTCACAGTTTTTGCCAACCGGACCAGCCTCACGGAACTTTTCATCATGTTTTTGTGAAGCAATTCTTTAAAATTTTATATTGTTGAAGTGCAGGAGGACCTTCTCATCGACAGGCTAGACAGTAAGCTTATACACCTATGGCAGGTGAAAGAATAACTTCAAGCTAGATGGAGGAAGCAGAGACACCAAAGAAGGTTACGAGAAAAGATCTCGCAACTAAAAAGGGACATGAGGCCTACTGCAGGAAACTAAACGAGTAACAAATGGAAGAAATCTGTAGAGACATGGGCAGGCAGCTCGGAGCTTCCCACACGTGGAAGTTGCTCCGATTCCTTTTAGACCCAACAAATACCAAAATGGAACAGAGGCACACCATTTGCAAATTAACACGCAATCACAAGGGCAATGAGGAGCAGTTAATTGAGAATCTAAAGGCTTTATACGCTTCACAGACCCCTACTTGTGCGACACCCAGATTACTCTGAAGACACCAATCCAACTGCTAGATTAGAAATTCACCACGGTGAAGATAAGAGCGGTATTTCACAAATTAAATCCTAAATTGGCACCAGGGTCGGACGGTGTAACAAACCGCATGCTCTGAAACCTGGACAAGGACTCTGCAGATATCTTAACCGAGTATATAAACAAGTGCTGGATCAGCGGGGAGATACCCGAGTCATGGAAAGATGCCACAACCGTCTTAATTCCTAAACCAGGCAAACCAATCAACAAAGTGAACCTCAGGCCTATCCTACTCACGTCGTGTGTGGGAAAGCTAATGGAGCACGCCTTCCTCCGTAGAGTGAACGACCAGCTAGAGGATGGTGGTCACTACCGAGATACAATGCTAGGCTTTAGACAGCACTTGTCTACACAAGATGCCATGCTGCAATTTAAGCATCAAGTACTCGACCATAAATCCAGGTCCACCCGGGCCATCCTTGGACTGAATCTCAAGAAAGCCTTTGATAACGCGGCACATAGCTCATTCACATAGCACATTCTAGCTCAAATTTCGAGTCTAATCATGGGAGAGAGAGTGTACAACTATGTTAAACACTTTCTGTGCAGCAAAATGAGGATCACCATAGGTGATGTTAAATCAGACCTCTACGAGTTGGGCAGCAGCGGAACGCTACAGGGCTCCGTGATTTCGCCAATGCTTCTTAATTTGATAATGATAGGTCTACCAAAGGAACTTTATAAAATTCCAGGAGTTCATCACTCCATCTATGCAGATGATCTTACTATCTGGAAAGCCGTGGGTAGTGATGGCTATATAGAGCAGAGACTTCAAGAGGCCGTAGCCACGGTGGAGAGATACGTAGAAGGTACAGGCTTTCGATGTACGGCAAAAAAGTTGGAGCTCCTTCTATATAGACCCACGCTTAGAGGCAGACCGCCAAAATTGTACGCAAATAGTCGCGAGTATGAAGAGATTACAGTTAGCACGGCCAAAGGCGAACTTATACCCATAGTTCAGCATATAAGAGTCCTCAGACTGATCATTGAGTCCAAGGGAACCAATGGGGAAATGATCCACAAGCTACAAACCAAGGTTGCCAACGCTATGAGGTTAGTGCGCAGGGTTACAAATAGACACCAAGACATGGGCGAGGCCAGCGTCATGCGTCTAATACAGGCATTCGTAATTAGTCATGTTGCATACGTAGCAGCTTTCCACAACTGGCACACCGCAGAGAGCAGCAAAATTAATGGCCTAATCAGGAAAGTGTACAAACAAGCCTTAGGCATCCCAGAATATGCAAGTACAGAACTACTCCTGACACTAGGCGTTCACAGCACGCTAGATGAGATTGCCGAAGCCCAGCGTGTCTCACAATTAGAGAAAGGCTGTCAGCAACGAAAACGGGCAGGAACATATTAGCGCAATTGGGTATTACATACCACGTTCACCACGGCGAGAAATATGACATTCCCATCTACATTTACTCTAAAATCGGGATAAACCCGCTTCGTAGAAATATGAACCCCACCACGAATGCAGAACGCAGACACAACAGAGCAAAAGTGCTGTTCAAGACACACAGTACAAGTGAAAAGTCTTTGTTTGTAGATGCGAGCCCGTATTCCAAGAAGAAAGCGCATCTTGCAGCGGCAGTAGACATGACCGGAAACTGGGTTAATGCCTGTACTGTCTTTACGACACGGATTGAGGAAGCTAAAGAGGTGGCCATCGCCATGGCTCTCACTACCAGAAAACACAGCTTCATTCTGAGTGACTCACAGGTTGCAATTAGGAATTTTGCGTGCAGACGCATTTCGCAAAGTGCCCAAAAAATTTTAGCGAGGAACCAGAAACTGATGGGTTCGGAGGAACATAAATATCTAACCTGGTTCCTGGCACACACAAACGCGGCCACCAACAACCCGAACGAGACGGTCTATGCGTTGTCGCGACATTTAACCCGCCGCGTAGCCCAGGGGGTACTCTCGTCGGGAGATGCTGCTGCCGAAATCGAACCTGTATTAAAAGACAGAATCTCCAGCTGTGCAGGATATACCAAGTATCATCGTGACTTGGGGCGTATGTTCCCCACCTCACCCAAAATTCGATCGAAAACAGGTGAAAGAGTGGCGAGAATTACAAACTCATTCTTTTCTCAGCCCTGCTCAGTTACACAGAATATCTCCATCAATTTACCCAGACTCGATATGTAAAGCCTGTAAAGTAGAAGCGGCCCCCTTAGCCACATGCTCTGGGAGTGTCTTGAGAAGCAAACAGACTACCCAGAACCTCTCCGGGAGCGCTGGCGTTCAATGCTGCTCGGCTCCGAACTAGAAAACCAAATTGGGCTAACCAGCAGGTCAGGGAGGCTATTGGGAGACAAGGTCTTCTATCCTCCATCTGGGCGGTCTGGCCCAGACCAGCAACTAGCCGGATTTCACAATAAAGTTTTTTCATTCATTCAAGACTAGCGTCCCCCCTTAATTAGTTATTTTGCTAATCCTTTCACAACTTCAATAGCATTCTAATTTTCTTTCCTTTGCTTTGTTTGCTTGAGTACAAATTTCATCTTTATGACCTGACAGAATAGAGGTGTAGCTGCTTCACCTTTCAGTATTGTAGAATAATTGTGTAGTTTTTGCATTGCTGGAGTCAAGCTGGCATTACTACATGTTGGAGAGAGGGTTGAACAGAACCACGGCTTCATTCCAGTAATTTAGACACTGATGGGCATTTTTTTTTCTTTTACTGCCTGCTCAGAAACCGAGGAGCTGGACATGACTGAGCAACTGTCAGAGCCCGAACCAATGGTGTCGGTTTCCAAGGAGTACGAGTGCGTCATCTGCAGCCAGACATCGCCTTCCACGGTGACACGGCCTGTAGGCATGGTGGTACTGCTGCAGGCAACTAGTGGTAAGCGCTCCTGTCCTGTCAGTGCCTGCCTACCTTGGCTAAGATTAGACGGCCGCAGTTATCTGAGGAGGAAGCGTGCGCTTAATACTTGGGGAGCCTTTCTTTTTCTTTCTTCGATGTCGTAAGTATGGTTCAGTATTGTTTGGTTTGACTGAACAAGGTAAACCTCAATTTTTTCCCTGGAATTTAGGCAAAGCAAATTTGCAGTTGAGTACTCTCTTTATGTCAGAGCCACTGCGTCATGAGTGTAAAAAAAGTTGGACCCATTCCACTCTATGAAGGTGGGTAACCAGCAGAGTTGACCGGTTCGCTCCAGTCTCAGCTCTCTACGTCGTTCATAAAAACATTGCTTTTCAGGCATTATCACAATGCACAATCGACCCATAGTTGCCATTGCTCCACCATGCCAGCACAGTACCTAGAATAAACTGATGTTATGAAACTTTCACAAAAGGTGAACCGCTCCGCTCAAGCTTTCTGCACGTGACGTAGTGTTGCAGTACTGTCTTTAGGATCCATCTACGTTTGACCTCGAGTTTGACCAGCCGACAAGGTCACTTGATGATGTGGCGTCATGATACAGTAATTACGTGATGCCATTGCTCACTCGAAGGAGGTGATGTTGGTTTTGAGTCCATGGATAGACGCCATGAAATCGAGCAGGTATACCATTCACATTATCACTGTAAAAGTTTGTCAGTGCAGCCATGAGGCAAATAGCAGTTTCCGTAAATATGTTGGTAGGAGATGTCCAATTCGTATAGTGAAATTGATGCTAACTGAGAGGCTTATATTATGCTTCACATTCTCGCGTGTATTTTTTTGTGTTCACGCATAAAGCCTGTATTTGACAAAAATGACAAGTTCGCTGATTGTGGTTCGTTCTGTGGCTGTGCTACACTTTTCTCAGATCTGAATATGCAACAAATTGGATAACACAATACATGTTATGCATATATAATTTATTTAATTGTTTAAAGGGATACACATGAAAGTAGCTTTCACTGTAGTCAGTGTTATTTCGGTGCCTGCACGCTCGGTTTCACTGCAGCATTGAGGTACCTGGTTTCGCAAAGTACGATTAGCCGGACACTGAATTAAGTAATCAGTTAACTCGAAATTAATTTAATCTCATCACCTGTGGCACCACGGTTTCATAGAAACAAGGTTCTGTTGGGGCTTACTTCTCTGCAGTGATGGGCCACGCTAGGGAGGAAGAGGATGTGGACCGCAAGCTTCCCTGCTCAGACGAGGAACGCCTGCCATTGCTTCAGGATGCCAGTCGATCGGCCTACATGAAAAAGCGTTTTGAGGCCCTCACCATGCACTTTGATGACGTGAGTGCACGAAAAGAAGTTATGGAGTGTGAATATTCAATCTGATGGCATCATACTTGTTTTGCTGATGTGAATATGAATATTTTCGAACGAGTTTAACGTTATACATAGTGAAATCGGTAGCACATTAGGAAGGACAAAATGAGTGAAGGCAGGAGTTAGAAGTGAAATGGAGTTGCTTAGAAATGTAGGCAGAATTATTTTTTAGGTGGTTGGGGGCACAGGTTTGCTGTGCCAGCCCCTGGCTATGCCACAGTATTGGACGGAGAATAGGTGGGGCTGCCACTGTCCTAGAAGTATTACTTGAAAGGATGTAAGAATGGGCTTGTTGGTAGTAGTGTAGTGGTGAATTCGCAAGGCAATGACCAGTGAGACCATCGTAGTGTGAAGCGGGAGCGTGTGCACAAGCTGTGGGTGCCGGACTTTTAGAGTATTTTTGTCTGTACCAGCTGTGGCCTACTACCTGGCATCGCTATTAAACTCCCTTGCGATATTGTGGAAGTGTGCTGGGTACGCAAATCTGAAACTTCGAAGCCGGAAGCTGTTCACTGCATCAACAATGCCTGGTCAGACCACCGAGCAAGGCACCGCCCAGCAAAGCACGGCCCAATCTCAACTGGTCATCGTGTCTACCACACTGCGCCAACGGGATCCCCCCTTCTTCAGCGGCACCGAGGACCAACATGGGGAAGACTGGCTGCATCTGTTTGAAAAATATGAGCACCACCAACAAGTAGGACGACCCCTCGAAATTGGAGTATGTCTCATTTTCCCTCAAGCGACGTCACCAGCCTGTGGTTCACAAATCACCGGGCTGAATTTGCCACTTGGGCCGCTTTCAAGACCACCCTTGCAGCTGTGTTCGATTGCCCCACAGCGCGGCATGCTTCATGCTGAACAGCGCCTACGCGGACGTGCGCAAAGATGGGGTGAAAGCTTCACAAGCTATATAGAAGATGTCATCGATTTATGCCTGTGCTTTAAATCTGAGATGACCGAGCAGGACAAGATCAGGCATGTCTTGAAAGGCATAGACAATGACGCCTTGCAAATGTTGCTGGCGAAGGGCCCAAGTACCGTGTTCGAACTTGTGACCTTGTGCCAGAGCTTGGAAGAAATTCGCAAACAACGTGCATCAGCTCGGAGGTCGACGACGGCAGACGACTCTCTCGCTACCCTGGCCATTGGTGGTGACAGCACCCTGCTGGTGCAGATAAAAGATAATGTATGCGAAGAGGTCGCATGACAGCTTTCGTGTCTCTCGTATCTGCCGGCCACCAAAGTTTGAACGAACCACCTAACGCCGACATTCAGACAGGCTATTCAGGAGCAGGTCTCCGAGACGTTGCCATTGCCGACGTTTGCCTCTCCACCAACACCTGTTGCCGCGCCACTGACTTATGCAGCCGTCGCGGCAACGCCACCAGGTCGGCTGCCATTGTATACTCCACAACCTGTGCGACCGTCCACCGCGCCGTTTCCAGCTACACAGCAGCACTCCGGAAATCCTGGCGCACTGCTGACAACCGGCCCTCATCTTATTGATCTAATCGTCGAAGGTGTATGAACACTTTCACTCATCGATACTTGTGCCGTGATATCTGTGATAAATCAAAGACTCTGCCGCTCTCTTCGTAAAGTAACGATGCTTTTTCCCATGGTTTCCCTTAGCACTGCGAGCACCCAACAAATTGAGCCCAGTAGGGCATGTTCAGCAAAAGTGATAATGCGAGACATTTTGCACACCATTGAATTTCACGTGTTGGCTTCATATTCCCATGATGTCATTCTAGGATGGGATTTCTTATCACGTCATCACATTGTCGTGGACTGTGCTCGCGCCGAAGTGGAGCTGTTACCGCTTCGTGATGCGCTTTCGGTTGATGCGGCCGTATCTAGTGTGGCCAACCTTGTCGTCGCAACGAACATTGACCTTTCTCTTTTCAGCGCCCAATTTGTCCCTGCCTGCTATGCTTCACTTTCTGACGCTATCGTCCTGTTCACGCCATCTGACATCTTCGGTAGCCAGCACCACACATGGCTGCCATTCGCCGCTTTAGAGCTTTGTCAGGACACTACCGGAATATTTATTTCGAATCCCAACTCGTGCCCCCTCAGCTCGCGCTGCAATGCGACGCTCGGCCACACTTAGCCTATCGATGAAGATATTATCGTGCCTGCCGATTTCTTCGGCACCAAGCCGAATATGGAGCTGAATGCATTGGTTCCTCACCTTGCCTCGGACAGCGTGTCTTCCAGTGCATTTCACCATTCTATTGACAGCGATCTCGCCCGTCTCAATGAGAGCAGCTTCTTACCCTGTTGCACGGATTCAGGCGTTCGTTTGACTTTCCTCATGTGGTGCTAGGAAAAACGAACACTGTTGCTCACACAATTGACACGGGGAAGAGCACTCCTTTGCGCCAGCGCCCCTATGGTGTGTCGCCAGTGGAGCGTCGCGTAATCACAGAACAAGTAGACAACATGCTACAGCGCGGAGTCATCAAGCCTTCTTGTAGTCCTTGGTCTTCCCCAGTTGTACTTGTCAAAAAAAAAAAAAGGAAAGGTTCCATCCGGTTCTGCGTAGACTACAGGTGCCTAAACAACATTACGAGAAAAGATGTTTACCCTCTTCCCCACATAGACGACGCTCTCAATTGTCTCCAAGGTGCAGAATTCTTTTCCTCGCTTGACCTCCGCTCAGGTTATTGGCAGGTCTCAATGGCTGAGTCTTATCGTCCAAAAACAGCGTTCGTCACATCGGATGGCCTCTATGAGTTTACCGTAATGCCATTCGGACTCTGCAATGCACCCGCCACATTCAAGCGAATGACGGACAGCATTTTGCGTGGTCTCAAATGGAACATATGCTTGTGCTATCTTGACAACGTTGTGGTCTTTTCACACAATTTGACTTCGCATCTCACTCGTCTGTGTAAGATTCTACATTGCCTTACAAACACCAGGCTTCAGCTTAATCTGAAAAATGTCACTTTGAGGCTCAACAACTCGCCATCCTTGGTCATGTCGTATCCAAAGCTGGCAGTCTTCCCGACCCTGACAAACTTCCTAAGCCGACTACAGTTAAAGAACTACGGAGCTTTGTGGGCCTGTGCTCCTATTTTGTCGGTTTGTCCGGAACTTTGCTTCCATCATCGCTCCGCTCACCAAACTCCTTGCTGGCCCTGCAGATCTTTCGAATTGGACAGAAGCCTGTGACGAATCCTTCGCAACTCTGCGCCAATTCCTTACCACCCATACTGATTACGACCCTACTGCGTCGACGGAAGTACACACAGATGCAAGTGGCGTCGGCCTTAGTGCAGTACTCGCGCAACGCAAACCAGGTTTTATGGAGTATGTGGTCGCCTATGCCAGCCGCGCTCTCCTTAAGGCAGAAGAAGCCAACTATCCTGTTACTGAAAAAGAGTGCCTCGCGATTGTGGGGGCATTAAACAAGTTTCGCCCCTATTTGTACGGTCAAACTTTTGATGTGGTAACTGACCATTGCGCACTCTGTTGGTTAGCTTCACTGAAAGATCCCTCTGGCGTCCTCGTGCGTTGGGCATTACGCCTCCAAGAATTTGACATTTGCGTCATCTGCCGATCAGGGCGAAAGCACTCTGACGCAGATGTGCTTTCACGATCACCCATGAAATCTGATGAATCTGAAATCTCAGCCTTTGACTTTCCTCTCTCTGCCGTCAGCGTCACAGACATGCCATCTGAACAACAGAAGGACCCATGGATTGTCTCGCTCTTGAATATGATTTCTGACACATCAACTTCTGGTTACCTGCGTGCTTTTCGCCGCCAAGCAACGCATTTCAGCATACGGGATGGCCTGCTATACCATCGCAACTATCAAGTGACCGGTCGTAAATGGCTGCTTGTCATACCCAGGCATATGCGGTCTGATATCTGCGAATATTTTCATGCTGAACTGCAACATGCACACGCTGGTGCGCTAAGGACGTATGAGCGGATCCGCCAACGTTACTACATTTAATCACATCAGGTGGTGGCGCGCACGTTCACTGTCGCGAGAACGAACGCAGAACCCCTCGAGGACAGCGAGGACTTCAGCAGCCTCCTGCACGGTGCGGCGAGGTCGCATCGGCTCATCACATCTTTCATTATCATAACCTTTCTTTCAAGATCATTCGCTGGCTGCTGTGGCCGCTTAACTCCTGTGACGGTCGCCATGAAGCGCGACGGCGGCGACAAAGTGCACAAACACACCGCAACATGCGAATTCACAACACAAAGAACCAAGACACAAAGTAGTACACCAGTAGGCGTAGCATGGGCATAGCAAGCAGCTGTTAGTAGACACTGGCAACGCCTCCTTGATGTCCCGTGCCTGCCGGATGAGCGCGAAACGCCGGTCATCTATGGCGGCGCTGCCTACGTAGGGATAAGATTCTTTGTACTTGGCCTTTGAGATTGGCAATTTCGGCGTTTGCTACTAATTTCAGAGGATGCCTTGTAATAAAAAAGTTGCTTGCTGAATGACGGCGTCACTTACGTAAAGTTAATTATAATTACGTTTTTGCCGTTTTAAAACTTTTTTACGTTATTTTTGTTGCATATAAGCTCTAAAAACGTAAAAACCTATTTGAAGACATTCCTACTTGAGTGGCGCCACCACCGTAGTTCCGACTACAACCGCTTCCCAAGTGACCGCCGATCACGGAGGAAGAAAAGGAACCTTCCCTTTCTCCGTGCCGCCGATAATCCAGCAGGCACGGGAAATCTAGGAGGCGTTGACACTGGATGTGTCGGTGGACCAAGCGCTTCCGCTGGGTAGTGACTAGCGCCACCTAGCCACTTCCCCTTCATTCACTATCATCAACATAATATTCTCCTGCAGTTTGCTCGGTTTCAGTTTCTCCAAAACTCCGGTTCTGCCGTCGGTTACGCCAAGCGGTGCTTGAGCCTCCAAGCCGCCGAGATCGCATGACTCTGGAGTCCCGATAGCCCTCTCTGGAGTTGTCCGAGATAACCGGTGCGCAGCTAAATCCCTCCGAATTAAATGAGCATTTCACTTCATTGAAATATACACAGTTTTGCCGGGACCGCGCCGCGAGTCCGAGTTAACCGAATTTCCGAGTTAACGAGGTCCGAATAAACTAGCTTTTACTGTATTGGCGAGGTATGTACACATTTGTACGCAAACACATTCGCTCATGTTCCTCGTGTCGGCAGCGCAAGACGTTTCCTCATTCACCCGGTCAACTTCAGCCTTTACCATGTCCTGCACGCTTATTTGACTGTGTTGGGATTGACCTATACGGCCCACTACCGTGCTCTGTTGCTGGTAATCGATGGGTGATTGTGGCTGCCGGCCATCTGACAAGGTACGCTGAAACGGCAGCGCTGTCTTTGGCGGGTGCTCGTGAAGTTGCAACCTTCATCTTGCATCGGTTCGTTCTTCGTCATGGTGCACCACGGGAGCTACTGAGTGACAGAGGTTGCGTATATATGTCGGGAGTTCTGCAACAGCTCCTTCATTCATGCCGTATGGTACACAGCACATCAACAGCCCACCACCCTCAGACGAACGGCCTAACGGAACGTTTCAATAAAACTCTAGGAGGACATGCTCGCTATGTATATTGATTCTGATCACTCTAACTGGGACGTCGTTCTTCCTCTCGTGATGTACGCTTACAACACGCCAATTCAATCAACAACCGGCTTTTCTCTATTTTTTCTTTTATATGGTCGTGACCCATGCAGCACACTCGACACAATTCTGCCATACAATCCTGATGCCTCCGAGTTCAGCCCAGTTTCTGAAATGACCGATCATGCTGAAGAGTGTCGTCAGCTTGCACGGTCCTTCACAGCCGATAATCAAGCCCTCCCAAAAGATTGCCATGATCGTGATCTTGTCCAGGACATTTTCCTCATCTGTTCTCTCGTGTGGCTTCAACTGCCTTTCCACTCTCCTGGACTGACTCCTAAGTTTGCACCAAAGTATACTGGCCCTTACCACGTCATCCAGCACCCCTCTTCTGTCACCTATGTGATTAAACCACTCAAGCAGTCCGCGAACAAGCGCTGCCTTGGTTGTAAGATGGTCCACGTCAGTCGCCTAAAGCCCTGCTACGACCCTCCTGTTCTCTCGTCACCTTGAGTCGCCAGGATGGCTCGTCTTCATGGTAGGGGTATTGTAGTGGTGAATTCGCAAGGCAATGACCAGTGGGACCATCTCTTAGGGCCAAGGGTGAGCGTGCGCACTCGCTGTGGACGCTGGACTGTTCGAGTATTTTTGTCCGTATTGGCCGTCTGCCTACTACTTGGCGTCGCTATTAAACTCCGTTGCAGTAGTAATACACCGTGTGGATTGCGTTTTTCTTAATTCACAATAAGCTCAACAAAGCACCTTTATCAGTATGTGATGAGTGTCAATTAGGTTTGAGGTGCAGTTCTATGTACTCATTTATGTTAGCCAGTGAATGAAGAAGTAATCAATCGTGCTGTAGTTCTAATGACACACATTCTCCTCTTCCACGGTGACAGATGTGCTTACCAAGTTAGTAATGTTCTTGCACACATGGTCTACATTAAATAAATTTAGATGCACGTTAGTGAAAAAGCGGACTAGTTAGTGTTTGTTTTCATTTATATGTAAGTACACGTTAAGCACAACTGACAACCGCTAAGTCTTGCTGCTTTGGTCCTTGATGCTGTCGGTTGTATACAGCGCATCAGTGCATGAAAGCTTTTTTTACCTAGTTATTCGGAAAAATCACTGTTAATTGCATTAACACTCTTCTTTGCCTGATGATTTCTTAAGGACCTGCACTTCACGGCGACTTTATATGGCTCTGTCACTTCTGTTTTTCTTGTCGATTTCAGTTTCCACTGTCACAGTCGGTGAACATAGGCTGGGAGGGTGGAGTACATGTGCAGACGTGTGGCCATTACCTCCATCTGGACTGCCACAAGTCCTACATGCTGTCCCAAAGGGTGAGCACATCCTGCGAATGTTGAAATGTGCACTGTTTTTGCACTTCTTAAAGGTTGATGTGAGTGAAAAAAGTAGCGTCGCACACGGTGTTTCCCAATTTTGCTTGTATCAGTAACCACAGGCAAGAGCTTTGAGCAGTAGCAATTCCAAGCTGTGGTTTTTGTAAGGTAAGCTGTTGATTCACAATCCTTGTGCCTATGCCCTTTTTACTATCACTTAGCTACAAACCTTAGAACATTACCCTCTTTGTTCATGAGGCAACTGTCATGCGCAAACCAACGTGAAGAATTGATATTTAACGTCCATAAGTTGCAGTGCGTAAAAAAGATGTGCACGCTCAAGAGTTTATTTTTCAGCAGTCGAGCTGCCCACATCAAGATAGATTGCACTCTTCCTCAAATAAACATGCACTGGTTTCGTAGTGTATCGAGCTTGTTTTTTCTCATTTATTAGAGCATAACACAGCACAGGTAGACTACTCATGTGTTTTTGTTTACAACTTTTTCGCAAATTTTTAATACAATAAAAAACTCGTTAATTTGACACCCGTTAATTCGGAAATTCGGATAATTTGGACGGCTCTATTGGTCCCGGCCAAAGTGCATGTTAATCTATGAGACCAAACCTTCGTTCTTTCGTCGGAATTCGGCTCCGCACCGCTTAATTCGGACAAATGCTGATGGCTGCTGCTACACAAAAGTGTGATAACGCAGCGCTGGCACCACTGGAGTGAAACCGAAACCAGAGTGGCATCGCCATCATCATCAACTAGTGGGGGCAATCGCAGCGTCACCGAACGTCGGCGTCTTCGATTCTTCTCCACTCAGCGCCTCCGACGCCATTTTCCCTTGTGTTGTCGTGTCGGAACCATCTCTTCTTGCGGAGTTCTCTTTTTCTTCCATTGTGACCGTATTTGCATGCCACCACCATCGTGTGCTACAGTGATGGCAACACCGAAAAAGCGGCAGAACTATGACGCGAAGAACTTGGCGACTAAAGTGGAAATTTTGGAAGCACTGAAGAATGGCAAATCGCCACAGCAGGTTATGACCAAGTACAACGTGAAGCGGAGCACGTTGGGAACGTACGTGAAAAATGAACAACAGATTCGACAAGCCTTCGAAAGCGAGAAGTTTCATGCCTCTAGAAAGCGGTTGCGAACCGCAGCTCATTCCCAGCTCGAAAAAGCTTTGCTCCGATGGATTACTGACTGTCGCAACGCGCATCTGCCTTTGAGCGGACCTGTCATCATGGCACAAGGTGAGAAGTACGCTGCAATGATGAACATTGAATCGTGTCAAAGCGTCAGAAGGGTGGTTTGCGAGGTTTCGAAAGAGACACGAACTTGTCTTCAGGAGTGTGTGCGGCGAAAAGGCCAGTGTTGACGAAAGCGTCACCACCGAGTGGAGAAATGTGAAGCTGCTGGAGCACATCGCCGCATATGAACCACGTGATGTGTTCAATGCAGATGAAACTGCTCTATTTTTCAGAGCTCTGCCCGACAAGACGGTGACTTTCAAAGGGGACGCGTGCATTGGTGGCAAGAAGTGCAAGCAAAGGATAACTGTGCTTCTTGCCGCCAATATGACTGGCACGGAGCGCTTGCCACTACTTGTCGTCGGGAATGCACTTAAGCCACATTGTTTTAAGAACGTCAAAAGCCTTCCTGTTGAGTACACAACGAACAGGAAGGCATGGATGACATCGGACATTTTTCGCGGCTGGCTGCAGCAGTTGGACCGGCACTTCACGTCGAAGGACCGCAAGATAATTATGGTTGTTGACAACTGCAGTGCCCATAACTGTACAGTCGAACTGAAGAGCATCAAAGTAGTTTTTTTGCCGCCCAACACTACGTCTGCTCTTCAGCTTCAACTGATGGACCAGGGTATCATTCACTACGTGAAGTCGAAGTACCGCAAGCACCTGCTAGAGCGAATGATCCTATGCTCAGAAGCTGGAAAGTTGTATCAAGTGGACTTACTCGGCGCAGTGCACATCATCGCCCACGTGTGGAAAAACACTCCGCCGCAAGTCATCGCCAACTGTTTTCGACACAGCGGTTTTGTGAGGCCCGAGCATGCAGCAGTAGCTAGCTGACGATGGCATCGAGGAGGTGTCAGCCGAGTCCACCGACAATGACTGCCCGACTTTCGATGCTGTCCTTCCCACAGATGTGACCTTTCAGGACTACATCGAGATTGATCATGGTGTCGCCACGAGTAGTCTCCTGACCGATCAAGAGATTATTAATGATGTCACGGGCGCCCATGAAGACCACGATTCCGATGAAGAATCATGCGAGGAGATACAGCCGCGACCTCATCGCACCTCACGGGAAGTCTCGGAGGCGCTGTTAATATTAGAGGACGCTTGCCTGAACACTCCCGACAGCTTGCGTGCTGTTGGCCATTTGGAACAGTTAAGAAAAATTGTGATGTCAGCCGGAATCTGCGCGGAAACGCAGACGACAATTACAAAATACTTCAACAAATAAAGGTATGCTTCTGCAGCTTGATTTTAAATGTTGTTTTCCCTGTTCATTCGTTAATTCGGCATTCGGTTTATTCAGACAGTTTTTCCGGTCCCGTGAAATCCGAATTAACGAGCTTTTACTGTACTTCCACTACGACTTTTCAAAATAACAAATGATCTTTAGCGGTCCCTTGAGATTCGTTGTATCGAGATTTTACTGTACTGTGTTCTTCCAATTTTTGGGACATTTTAATAGTGGAATTGCCTTCACTCGTACAGCTTATGTACAATAAAACCTCATTCATTTGAAGTTGCTCATTTTGAAATTGCACTTAATGTGAAGAGTTTCAGCGGGCCTCATACATGCTATGGAAGTTTTGGTGGACAATTTGAAGCAGTGGCCAACACCACTTTGGCTAATTAGAAACTATTGGGGGCTGTGTAGCTATTTCTGATCACGATTTCACCTCAAACCTGTGGACTCAACATTCCAATTCGCAATTTCATAACAAATCAGTGGGCGTGACAGATCTTTGGAGCCACAAGACATCGCCATGCACTGATGTCGATGGTCGATAGGCAAAGTACCCCAGCCACATTGCTGTCAGGGTGAAAAAGAAAATTTTTTTTTAAACCCTTCTCTCAGTCACCAAAAATATGCACCTGCAGAGAGGGCACGCTTCACCTAAACACAGCTGTCACATGCTGCTCTGTGCATCATGGTGCAAGCATTCACCCATTTTTTGGGGACTCAATAGAAAAAAAATTAAAGGCAGTTTTGTAGAGTTCTCAATGTATGCTAACCTCTGATATGCGGTCGCTTAGGGAGATGGTGCACTGAGGCTGCTAAAAAAGCTGTTGCTTGCAAAGGCTACTTCAAAAGCTTCAGTGATCAGGTTTTGCAGCCACAGCACAGCGAATTCTCTCAGACTGGCTTGTATTATTTTCATTCTTCTCTTGAAGAGGACGGTGGGTGAATTATCGTATTTACTTGCATAATAAACGCACTCGCATAATGAACCCGCCCCCACCTTGGTCCTCGAAAAATTTCAAAAAAAAATTTTTAATGTATCTGTTCATTTTATTTCGCGGTGAAAGCCAGTGTTATAAAAACGTTATATCAATAAAAAATGTTATACCAAGCCATTAAATTACAATATAACAACACAATAAAGGTCCAAACATAGTTTCGCAACCATGCTAAACATTTGTGAGCAGCGCGAACGTGTACGACGTCGATCAAAATTTAAGTCGCGCCATTTGCAGCAGAGTGCCATCTGTCGAATGCAGGAGAAACCTCTTTGCTTATAGCACCACGCAAGCACAGCGGCTTGAAAACAAAGCAAAAAAAAGTCACAGCATTGCCACAAAGGTGAAGCAATGAACGAGATAGCAACAAATTGGAAGGTAACGCACAGAATGGCAAGCAGATCAAAACGTGCCCTGTGTTTCTCACGCACAAAGGATGCATGAAACGTACTCACAAGTACAGATTGACGCGAATAAGCGTCTCAGTTGTTACTTCGCTGTGTCTGAAAAGTGCGCCGTTTTTGCAAACGAAGGCTGTGCAACGATTGCAGTTACCTTTGTGGGCCTGGTAACTACAACAGAGTCGTTCTGATGAAACCCTAAGGATAGCCAAGATGTACGATTCCATCCACTGCAAGATAAGGGCGCGCGATCGAGCGTACACCCCCTTTATTCTCTACGCGGGCCAAAGTTCGCCTGAGAGATGAGAGCCGCCGTGCGCTCACTGTGCCATCTTGCTGATAATGCTGAAAACACGATAGTTCTGCTCCCTCCCCCCCCCCCCCTGCGAGATGCCGGCCAACAGCGGTACGTCATAGATATGAATAGCTTGCCGTTTGAACGTTGAAAGAGGTATCCCTCGGTGGCTCAACGGTTAACGCCTCGCATTCACGAAGCAAAGGTCCCACGTCTGATTCCGCACGCCTGAGTCTTTTTTTCTGGGAATTTTTTTTTTCCTTGAGATTTAATATATATGTACATATACAGTGCATGACATAGTCGCTGACGCCGGCAGCTAAATCCAGCCTAAAGTGGCCATATAATTGCTATCGCAATAAAACAAAGCGCATGCCTTCGAGCTGGCGGGCGCACTATGTAGAAACACGCCACGCGCCTGCCATCTCGGAGGTCATGCAAAGCGCAACCGCTCCGCCACCCGATGCTACCTTTTTGTTGTTGGATTTGTCGTAGATAACTTAGTTAGACACCTGCTGCACAGGGCACGTTTGGCCGATACGCTAACTACACGGCTGGTTTTGAACGTAGTTGGTTGAGCATGCACAGGAGCATGGGAACCGAGCAGCTGGACTGCACTTCGGCATCGATCCGTGCACGTTCGTTACGGGAGAAAACAAGAAGAGCTCCAGGCTACCAAAAAGATTCGTCGCGGAATACGTAGGCCAGAACAAGCAGAACCGTCATGCGAAATGGTCGCTGTTATAACTCCCGTGACTTTTTTTCTCCCGCATAATGAACTCTCCTCCCAAATTGGTGTTCTGAAAACCTTTCTGAAAAAAAGGTGGGCTCATTACGCAAGTAAATACTGTACACTATGGTAGCAAAAATTATGCACTTATACTGCAAGAAGCATGTGACACACAGTCCGTGTGTCACCACTGTACTTTATTGAAGCACGTCTTATCTGTAGGCACACATTTCAGCTGAATGTGAGACCATGTTTGTATGGTTCCATTTCGATTTTGTACTGACTGACAAGTGCTTCACCTGTAAATATTTTACATTGTTGTAGGGTATTGTCTTCTAACTTCACAGGGCCATGTTTTCCCGGGGTTCACCACAAGATTTGGGTCATGAACTGCTGGAAAACATAACAACCCTTGCAATTGCCAACAACCAAATGTGTCATAACAGGACCTCTTATTATTTTCAGTAGTTCAGCGCTATCTGGTTTCCGTTTTTTGTATGCTTCAATAATTCAAAAGCCCGCTTGACTCGAAAATTTTTCATGGTTCTAGTGACATTGAAATAACAAGGTCACCACTGTATTTTATTGAAGCATGTCTTATCTGTAGGCACACATTTCAGCTGAATGTGAGACCATGTTTGTATGGTTCCATTTCGTTTCTGTGCTGACTGACAAGTGCTTTACCTGTAAATATTTTACATTGTTGTAGGGTATTGTCTTCTAACTTCGCAGGGCCATGTTTTCCCGGGGTTCACCACAAGATTTGGTGGTTTTGGGACGTTAAACCCCACATATCAATCACCACAAGATTTGGGTCATGAACTGCTGGAAAACATAACAACCCTTGCAATTGCCAACAACCAAATGTGTCATAACAGGACCTCTTATTATTTTCAGTAGTTCAGCGCTATCTGGTTTCCGTTTTTTGTATGCTTCAATAATATAAAAGCCCGCTTGACTCGAAAATTTTTCATGGTTCTAGTGACATTGAAATAACAAGGTCACCACTGTATTTTATTGAAGCATGTCTTATCTGTAGGCACACATTTCAGCTGAATGTGAGACCATGTTTGTATGGTTCCATTTCGATTTTGTACTGACTGACAAGTGCTTCACCTGTAAATATTTTACATTGTTGTAGGGTCTTCTAACTTCACAGGGCCATGTTTTCCATCCCGATTTCCCAAATCCAAAGTCTCAGATGCATTGTCAGCTTTCTATCACAAAAAACAGTAGTTGTGTCATGCTTAATGTGTGGAATAATATGTATGTCTCAAAGAAAAATGCCTCATGGCTCCTGTGATTTATTTTCTGCAGAGTCAACAAAGCCAGCGGTTGCAGACTGTTGCAGTTGAGCGAGGAGAGTACTGGTGCCCGCTGTGCAGACAACTTGCAAACTCTGTTCTTCCGCTGCACCCTGAGGATCCTCGAGGTGCACTGGTGCGCAAAGGATGTACACCCAATGCTCAACTGTTGCAAGACCTGTCTGCAATGCTTTCACATAAGCCCATGGTTGAGGTAAATATTCACAGGTGTTGTTTATGCACAAATGTGTGTATACAGTAAAGCCTTGAAAGAATGGCTGATGTGGCGTGTAGGTTCACGGTACATACTCCGAAGTGTAAGGCATGACGGCAACAAAGAACAGAAACAGAAACGGGGGGGGGGGGATGTGGACAGCTTGCACTAGAGGCGCAAGGCAGAGTTGGTGGTTTCTTAGCTAGTCCCGGCTTTGCTCAATTTCAATTCAGCTTAATTGGACATATGGAGGGACGTGACACTTAGAAGTAAAAAATCGACTCAAAGATCGCATTTTTTCTCTCATCATTTTCACGTTCCCGATGCCCTTTCACACCTATCAGCAAAGTTTGGCTTCGAAATTCGACTTATTTCTCAAGTTATAACCCATAAAGAGAGCAACTTTACGCAAGCAGAAGTGCAAACTAGCTGTACTTCAACCGCCGACGGCACGTGACTAATGCGCTACACAAGCGCCATTTTGGTCTTGTTGGAAAAGTCGCGTTTCTAACTTTCTAGTAGACAACTATGTGCTCCTCACAAAAGCAAAAAAAAGCGAAGTCAAAATTACGCGCAGCGCGTGCTTTCATTGGTTGCTTGACGCATGGGACCGCAATGGCATTTTCCGATTGGCCAGGAAAACTTGCTGGCAGTGTCTGCTGCCATTTCAAAAGCCTATCTATCGCCCTTGCGAAGGTGCCGTGACTCATTTCCCTAACGTGCTTGTGCATCTCGCTATGCCCGGCGGTGCGAAAAAGTCCTGATCGCAGCATCATTTCGGCCGTTCATAGAAGAAAGGCAGAGGCAGAAAGCCCAGTGGTGCTGCTACTGCTTCGCGGGGTCAAGCGCAGACTATATTTCATAACACCGTCTTGATAACGTCGTCGTAATCGAAGATAGTTCCTCGTGCGGCTTCCCCGAATAGCCGACACTCTGTGGATTATGACCCCGCCGATGCTATCGGCAACGGTGAAGTGCGCGTAGACATTGGTCTCCCTGACAGCGTGCGGGATGTCGACTCCGGCCGTGTGCGGGTAGACGCTGATGTGATCAGTGCCAGTGAAGATCACGACGCGCATGCCCGCGAGACAACCACAACGCTTCAGGGTCTCCTGTCGTGTCGGCAACAGCGCGAGAAATTGAGAGCTTTTCAGAGTCAAGTAGTGCGGCAGCAAGGCAAGATGTCAGCAAGGCAAAACTCAGAAGTCACACGAAGCCTCCAATCCGTGATTTAGAGTTTGGTATCAAAGGAGCAGCAAGCTTCTGTTCTTGCAGTGCAAGCTGCTGTTGTAGAAGCAGGGCTGTGCTTCAACACGGGCAATGTCAATGCATTTGCTGCGATTCTAGAGCAGCTGGACACTCACGATATTCAGCAGCACATTTCCGAGGGCTAGGAAGAAGGACTGTCATCAGAGTGCGACCTCAAATAAATAGAAGCATCCCAAAAACTGAGAAAGCTGATTAAGAAGAAGCATAAGGATGGGATGCATCCAGATTATGCCCCTGGTGCATTTTCATAAGATTATATTAGTATTTTTTAATAAAGGTGTTTTGAAACGTTTTTTTTTCGTTTGTTCAAAACAGCAAATTTAGCACATTTGATTAGTTGGAGAGAAAATTACTTCTGTTCCATTCGAGCTATCAGCATACTTTTTTTTTTTTTACAAAAAAGTGCATGCAGTATGCAATATGCCTATTTTGAAGTCAATATACAGATGAAAAATGTTTTTAATTGGGTCACATGCATGACAAGTGACAGTGGTTATAGCATTTTGCACTCCTTAAACATCCTACATTGTTTCTACACTGTCGCCAATGTTTTAGTGCTTCCTGCTTAGATGCCAATTAGGCTCCAAACAAAGGACCCAGGTTATACATTGATTGTAGAGTACATTGGAAACTACTTGACCTATCAAAAAGTAATTACATTTTTAGAATCTGCACATCTAAATACACAAACTATGAAAATTTCGTTCAGATCTATACATGAATGAAAAAGTTGCCCTTCAAGTGTAACCTCCACCCTTAATTAGCATTGCTAGACCACATGAAACTCAAGTATCTCTGGTGGGCATGGTTTGATCATACACAACTTAATATAAAAACCCGCGTATAGCCCGTTTTTTTTTTTTTTTCTAGATTTTACAATGCGAAATTTCTGCCCCGCACTACTCTTTGCAGATCCCAAGAATTTTCGGCTCGAATTCATAATTTTGGTTTCGGCAATATGCTGTGCTATCATCATCACCAGGTGTCTGCATGCTTCTGCAGTAGGTAGCGTTGTAGCATTAGTGATGTTTGTCGTACAAGAGTCCAACAGTGGCCACTGCAACCACTTGATGCATGTAACAATGACAACGATTTTACGTCTGTGACTTTACGCTATGCCAGCTTCGTGAAGGCAGTATTTGGCTGCCTTTAAAAAAAAGGCTGTCTTAGTTGCTGAAACCATCGGCGACTGTGTTGCGGGGCAGCAGTTCAGCGTAGACGAGTGGTACATTCACGGCTGGAAGAAGAAAGGAGCCCTTTTTGTATGCAGCGGCCAACGAAGAAGTTTTCGGGGGCTGAGACATGGAGCTTTTCGTAATGTTGCACAAGAACTGGCGAACTTCGTTTTGGAGCAACGGGCTGCGCAAATTGCTGTCAACATTAAGCTGCTGCAAGTAAAGGCAAGGGAGATTGCGCGAGATCAAGGCATTGAGCAGACGGTCTTCAAGGCGAGCAAGCAATGGGTGTCCCGCTTCATGCGTCATGCAGAATTTTCTCTACGTCAGCATGCGTCGATATCACAGAAACTGCCAAAAAAAAGGAAGAGCTGCCTGCGAGCTTTCAGAGGCACATGATTTCCTTGCGAAAGGCAGTCTCCTTTCAGCTGGGCCAGATCGGAAACACTGATTAGACGCCTGTGTTCCTCGATATGCCCTCGGCTCTGACAGTTCACAAAAAAGGCTCCAGGCAACTTGCCGTGCGATCAACTGGGAATGAGAAAATGCACGTGACTGTAATGTTGGCCTGCATGACAGATGGGTGCAAGCTGCCACCCTACGTCATGTTCAAAGGAAAGACGCTGCAGAAGGAGGAGAAGTTCTCAAGAAATGTTGTCGTCCGCTGCCAGGACAAGGGGTTGATGGTTGAATCACTCGTACTTCACTGGATCATGTCCATGTGGTGTCAACAACCCGGGGCACTGCTAGGGCTCCCGTCAATGTTTCTGCTCGACGCATTTCGGTGTAATCTGTCTGACTTCGTGAAGCGATTCCCGCGCAACTCCCGCACTGAGCTCGACGTTATCCTGGAAGGGATGACATCCCAGCTGCAGCTGCTTGATGTGTTCCTCGATAAGCCATTTAACGACCACATCAAGCGCGTGTACATGGAGTGGATGAGGTCCGGAGAGCCGGAAGTGACCTCTGCCGCAGTACTGAAGCGGGCCTCGTCAGCGATGCTGTGCTCGTGGATCGCCGAGGCTTGGGCCTGCATTCCCGAGGAGCTCGTTTGCCGTTCCTTCAAAAAGTGCACCGTCTCAAACACCCTCGATAGCATTGACGATGAGGCGCAGTGGAAGGACATGTCCAATGAGGGAGCTTCAGATGAGAGCTCGTCAGATGGCGATGAGTAATTGAGTGTAAATAAATGTATTTTTCTGGTTGTCACGGTGTATATTCGGGTGAAAATTTGTTTTCTCACATTTGCACCTCGGACTATGTGCAGATCCAACCTGCACGAGAGTTTTTATGGTAATAAGCATTAAATTGACAGTCATATTTAGCACTGATTAGACTTAATTTAAACTATTTAGAACTAATTAGGTCTTAGGTTGATTGTCTGTTAGTTTTAATCAAAGTTGTTAACAAAGAAAAATAACCCTTAAACTCCCCTTCTTTCATGAAACTATGTTTCATTTCTAAAAGACTCTACAGGTGTTATATATAAATGATACTATAATGTACCAATATGCCATGTTAGATATAGACAGTGGGTCTTTTCCGGGTGCGAACAGCACTTCTAGGGGGGATTGCCGAAATTGAAATTGGTGGCCCTTAGGCTACAAAATTGCCCACCGCGTGCCCATAGGTAATCTCGGAGAGCTGTATTCGCACCTTTCTTTGGGGGAATTGTATTCATGTTTGTGACACTAGGCGTCGCATGATTCGCAATTGTCGATGCGACTTGGCCTCCAAAAATCTTGGCGCAAATCTGCATCGACGGCAGCGCGCATGCACCTACTACCTACCCGGAAAAGGCTTGTATCACAATGTACTTGTACAGGGTATTAAAACCTAATTTATACACCTGGGAAAAAGAAAATCCACCGTTGCCTTGGTTCCCTCACTTATGCCTTGATATGAGGAGCTTTTTTCTAAATGGGCCAAATCCAAAACCGAACTAGCTCAAATAAGGCTCTGTTGGCACATACACATTCTTCAGATTTACTCTTAAACAGCAATAATAGAATAATAATGATAATAATTCCAAATTTGTTATGACTGTTTTAGAGGTAAGTTGAGAGTATTTATGGGCCAATGCAAGTTTATTTGAGCTATTTTTTGTTTTGGATTTGATCCATTTCAAAAAAAAGCTCCTCATATGTATGCATGTTTATTGATCCAGGAGCTGTCGATAAAAGAAATGCGGCCCTTCATGGAGGACCTTACCAACGCAACATTCAGTCAGTATCGGACTATCTCGTGTTTGCCCAACTCACATGGTCTGGTGCTCTTTCTCTGCTCCATCGCCAGGTGAGAGCATGTTTTAGACAAGGAAAGCCTGTCAGCATGATGAAGCTTTGCTTTGATGCAGCAATATTTCTCCTTTCGAAGCCGTTCGGTCTAATCAAGCACATTCATTAGTTTTGTTTTTCTCCTACTGCATAGATGGCTGCCAAGTGTTGGTGCTCAGAGGCTGTGTTTATTGCACTTTTTGTGTCCTTAAATCATGCTTTGTGGCCGTAGTTGGCTTCGCAGCATAGCTGGCAGCGAGGCTTGTTACAATAGAGCAGTTCCCTGGTTTTCTTTTACATCGTTTATGGCATTTTTTAATGAAGAGTCTAGATGGGGTTTGCATGTTTAAAGTATGAAGCAAGTTTGTTTAGTGAACCTGGCAGCTCGGGTTTGTTCTTGTCCTTAGTGTTGCTGTCCCTCTGCATTCCAGGACAAACTTGGAGGCGGAGATAGTGCTAAGGAAAGGAAACCTCTGCTTACCCCAACCTCAGCAAGTCAAGAAGCAGTCATGTTTCTGTGAGTGCTACTTTGGTCTGTCTTGAATTGGTTGTTTGGCCTGCTGTTTGGTGTATTGTTTGGGAGGTCACTCGCCCAGGAACATTGGTCACCAACTTCCAATTTGCCATTTTCATACCAATTCAGATGGGTTTTCTAGGGTGAACGTCAAAGCAAGCCAATGAAAGAGCACTAAAAAATTTATTTCTATGCAACTATAGCTATTTACAACTTAAGGGGGCTGTAGCACCCTCACCTCAAAGCCAAGTGCATGAAAGCATCAATGAGTGTCCTCATTCCAGAGTGATGTCGTAAGCTACAAGGTCGATGATCCCACTCTTGGAGAACATCACAGTGTATGACATCCAGCAAAAGTTTGCGGAAAGCGAAGTTTTCTATAGCCATAGTTTTACTTTGTTTCAAAACATAACCTGCAATTAAATGTTTTGGCCAGTAGCAGTTCTTGCAACTCATATAGTTGCCCGCCAGACTATACTTTATTTACTCGCATAATCCTCGCACTTTTTTTTTTTTTGCCAGAAAACCAATGCAAAGTTGAGGGATGTGAGAATTACATGGGGAGCCCCGCTGCGGTGTTCTAGTGGCTAAGGTACTCGGCTGCTGACCCGCAGGTCGCGGGTTCGAATCCCGGCTGCGGCGGCTGCATCCGGCGGAAATGTTGTAGGCCCATGTGCTCAGATTTGGGTGCACGTTAAAGAACCCCAGGTGGTCGAAATTTCCGGAGCCCTCCACTACGGCGTCTCTCATAATCATATGGTGGTTTTGGGACGTTAAACCCCACAAATCAATCAGTCAAGAATTACATGGGGAAAACTTTCCACAAAAACTTACAGAGCGACAAAGAAAACGAAGTGGCCGCAAATAGGGATTCTCACAGCAGCAACTAACAGCAAGCTTTGAGAAGTGCTAATTAAAACTTACCTCAACAATAAAAGCAGAAGTTCAACACAAGGCAAGATTTGTTTAAGATACAAAAAGTGTAAGCAAATAGTCGAGAGTCAGAATATTATACGCAAAGCTTGTGGGCGTTGCGGGCGTAGCGGTAGCATTCGTTGCTGAATAGGAACCCTCAAAAGGTAAGCGTAGGACGTCAGTATTGTGCTGATGGTTATTTAACAGAATCGTCCACAGTTTCTTTTTGAAGAAGTAAAGTTTACCATGAATCTCAGTTTTATGCACACGGCAGGCCCAACGCGTCTTGGTGGCTTTCAGCTGCCGTCACCAGTAGCGAACGCAAAACTCGTAGACTCTGAAGGGCCTACCGGCGGCCCTGTTGCCGTTGTTTAATGCATGATCTATCACTTTCAACTTGAAAGCAACCGTGTAGCTTCAATATCGCCCCATAACGTGACAAGATTACCGACACAACATACAAAACGCGTCGCAACGCACTCTTGCCACTTCGGCTTGGCTTAGATTGGATTGAATCTCCGTGCAATAATAGTACGCTTGATGCTTAAGAGATAACGCCAGATGGTGCGCACTATTATCATCAGTGGCTGGAACGAGCAGATGACATTATTGCGGGAGCTTTCGGGGATGCGATGATCACTCGAGAAAAAAATAAAATCATATTCTTGTTAGGCGATGTGGGGGGTGCGAGATTTATACGAGTGCGAGCATTATGCGAGTAAATACAGTAATCACGATGCAATAACAAAGGCGAAATTCGCATTTTCAGGAGAGTGCACGTCTTGTAAACTTACAAACTGAAGTCCTGTTTTTCAGGGGTGTGCGAATATTCGACATTTCCAATATTCTTCAAGTAGTGCTTGGTATTCGATTCGATTCGCACTGGAATTTTTATTTTTCAAACTACTCGAACTTCCCAAAAACAAATGCAGTCAACGTCCAATTGAAAGCGACCCCTTCAGACCTGTAATATGCTTCACCTAATTATATTCTCGTATAGCGGAAAAGCGGCCTTTCATGCTCTGCTACGGCCGAATTTTTTAGACACGATTCAGTCAACGTCCAACCAAAAATAATCCCTACAGATTTTCAGTAAGCTTTGCCTCAACGCACTACGCTATAGTGGCGAATTTGCCTTTTAGGTTTTGTTACGATTGTGGTTGTATTGGCTCGAGAAAACGGTGGTTTCAACATGGAGAGGATAGATGTGTAGGCTTTTGCAAATATGAATTTCAGGTTCTAAGCAAGTAGTGATCTTGGTTGAATAATTTTGAATTGAGCTCTAATAGTATATATCACATATTATAAGCAGAAATTGGCATATTTGTCATGACCCAACTAACCCGCACAATATTTTTTAAAAGTTACAACAAGACTTGTGGAAAGGCCATTCTTGTTGGCTCAAAGGAAGCGGAAACAACTTTCAATAGTAGTGGGATTGGACTTTTGGTAGAATGCAAGTGATAACCGGTAAAATATGTTACGTTTTACAGTTTAATTATTATTTATTTTTATTATTTATTGTTTATTTATTATTTAGAGTACTTAAGCTGGTTTAACAAGCTTTCAAACCTAAAAAACAAGCTTTTAAACTAAAAAAATGATGAATTGATGAGCGGGTAATATGTTCATTTAACCTTGAAGAGGAGTTTCGCGACAGTGCACATTTTTTTTTGGTTGGGTGTTTTCACACCTAACCAAAAAAAAAAAAGCACCACTTCACGGCAGTGAAATCACCTCTACAGAGGGTTTTATGCAGACAATTATACCCCTATTTGTTCAATTCGAATTTTTCGAAAATTTCAGCAATTTGAATTAGAATTGAGGTGTATTTGGATACAGTAATAATTGTTCAAATAATCAAAACATTTGAATATTCGCACAAGCCTATAAATGGGGCAGAGGTGGGGGCTCAATTAATGCTGTTTTAGACCTGAAATTTGGGCAGGAAGTCCAAGAAATCAGACACCTTAAATTTGTAGCATCTAAAATTTCAAGTGTTCATTTATGTCGACGTCTACAAGGCAGATTGGTACCTCCTAACTCGAAGGAAGCACAATTTTTTATGCCACATCGGTTGGGCTTCCACTGAAGTTGAAAAAGGAGAGGCTGAAGAAATAATTGATTTATTGATTGATTGATGTGTGGGGTTTAACGTCCCAAAACCACCTTATGATTATGAGTGACGCCGTAGTGGAGGGCTCCGGAAATTTTGACCACCTGGGGTTCTTTAACGTGCGCCCAAATCTGAGCACACGGGCCTACAACATTTCCGCCTCCATCGGAAATGCAGGCGCCGCAGCCGGGATTCGATCCTGCGACCTGCGAGTTAGCAGCCGAGTACCTTAGCCACTATACCACGGCGGCGGGGCGAGGCTGAAGAAATAGCATCTTTGCCTTTCACGTGCAAAGTGTTGCTGGCAGTGATCGTACTAAATCATGCACTAATACAATTCGGCCTCTGCGTTGCCTCATTCTTGAAAAGGCAATTATAAACTAACACCTTGCGAGCGCTTCATCAACCTAGTGAAAATAAGCACTGATGTTGCTATATCTGATAAGATTATGCACAGAAATCCTCTCCAAATTTTTCCGCAATGTCACTTCGAACTGTTTGAAAAATATTCTATTAGTTATGCACTCACACTTCAGTATTTGAATTCGTTTCGCACCCAAAATTTCGCTATTCACTCAGCTCTACTTTTTTTCTGTGGCAATTGGCTCCCACGCTTAAGTCATAAGGGTGAAGCTTCTTCTGTCTTTTTAAATTTTGTCGGACTATAAGTTCATATATTGTACTACCCGTCACATCTCTGTCTCCATGCTCTACTGCACACCTTCTCATTCTCCCCTTTGCGGCACTGTAGTTGGCTCTAGCTAAGACCAGCCTGTTTCCCCGGAGCTTCATTGAAAATCTGAGCATTTAGTTATCTTTAACCCACCACTTCTTGTGAAGTACGTATATCAGACTGGGAGGGAGGCCTTTTTGCGTTGTTGAACCAGCGTGGCAGCCCTTTCCAATAGCAAACAGCAGCAAGTGGTTCTCACTGCAAAACAGTAAATTTTCTTGCTCATAGTCTGCAAGGCTGCTTTACACAGCTGTGTTGCACAAGGCTTACAGAGTTAATTTTCGTCATTTTACATCGTCATCAGCACGCGTCAACCAAATTCTTGCTATGTGAGCAATCTGCATTTTGAAGCATGTGCCTTGCTCATTTTCCCTCACACTGCTGTTTCTCGCTGCTAGAAAGCTGAACAAAATGCGCTACGGTTGTTATGCAGAGCGTCGGAGAAAAAAAGGCGCGAGCGAAAAAGAAAAACACAAGCAAAGCGCAAGATCCACGCGTCTCCAAGGGCAACCGCGAAGGAGACCAATCATCTTGCAAAGAAAGTGTTGGAGACCGGGAGGATGCAGAGGGGGGTGAGGAGGGAGAGAAGAGGTTGAGGGCACGACGGGGGGTACAGTGGATGGCGGTACTTTCCCAAGATCAAGGCGCTTCACCCAAACCAAGCGAAAATTGAATTTTTGAACCACTTGCACCATCCACCATAGTAATGCCAGGCGGTTTTTTTTTTCTATAAAAAACAAACAGACAAGCAGTATTTACTTGTGTCTCTTCATGCACGGAAGGGTGCTTTTTAATTGCAGCTAGTTTGATTACTAGTGATGAACTGTAGTCGGACACTCTTATGTCATCGGGATCATTTCGCAAATGTCCCACTCATGACGCACGTCGTGTGATAGATACATTTAGTTTAATTTATCGGTAAGTAGGACACTGCTGTTGATAATATTGCCATTTTAGATGTTATAAATTATGCTTTCACTCTGACATAAATCGTTATTTGCCTTCAGTGTACCTTTAAAGGATGCATGCATCCAATGGTGTTGCATAGAATGGTGTTTGATACATAGAGCGCGGAGCTTAACATAAGTGTGGTATATATACTTAAAACAGTGCTGTGCTTTTGCGTGATTTTCTGCAAGGTACGTTAGAAAGGTTACAAAGGAGTAGTGCAGTATAAGACTGTATTCCTTTTGCAGATATGTATTTCAATGAAGTTGAAAGCCTGTGCTAATCAAGTGGCGCTAATATTTTTTGCGTGCATATGCAGTGCCTTTGTTCCGGGTATTGGCATTACACGCAGACCGGTGGATGGAGCGACGGCAAGCACCCTTTTGGTCGCAACTCACTGGCATGGTGCTCACTGACAACCTTACCAGGTAGCATGATCACTGCTAGCCATTCAGTTATGGCCGTTTCCTATTGAGTGACCCAATATTGGGTCCTGGTGACAACTGTGGTTTATCATGCAGTATCTAAATTCGTATAAGCCAGGTGGGATTTACAAGCCAAAAGCTTCTGTGAATTTCTTGTCGGCAATGCATGTTCACATTGAAAAAGTGTCACAAAGGAATGTGTTGAGCAATGCTAAATTACGGCTATCAGCTCACAAGTGTGTTTTGCCAAAGGGCATCTCAACCCTTGCAACACTCACCACTCACGCATGAGGTGTATTGTAGTAGAGTCGATAAAAATTACCCTTACTTTTTGCCCTTGCAGTCACTTGCTTTATTGCAACTCTTTTGTGTTTCCACTGTGCTCACAGTTACTTTGATCGCATTTTTTGTTTTAAATGAAGTTCAAAGTGGTTCAAAGTGAACACAGAGCAGTGATTAAAAATGTGGCAGAGTAAGCTGGAAACTTAATTCTTAGGTTTCCTCATTCGGAAGTGGCGCCTGAATGAAAAAAAAAAAAACGTCAAGCCTGCGCGGAAGGTGCACCACAGTCACAGCGAAAGCTGGAAGAGCGGCCTTTAAGAGCCTTTTTTTAAATACTCATTGGATAACTGCTGCAAGCACTCTTGCTGGGTACCCTCTATGGCATCAATAATAATAATTTCTGGGTAGTAGACCAGCATTCGCTATGCTATTTTTCGCCATTATTCTGAGAAGCGTTGTATCTGCTAAACACTTGCAAGGAATTGAGTGCTAATTGTTTATGCAGTGGCTGACTTTGATGTGGAATTATGCTTGAAGTGGGTATGGACCACAGTTTATAAATTATCAAAAACAGGCTTTTGTATTGGGTTGGAGCATTGGACGAGCCACTCGTTACGCTATTCGCGTTGTGTGACGTCGCCTTGTTCTTTTGTTGTTCTAGAACGCTTTATTACTCATATAACGTGATTACTTTCTCGACATCAAGCCTGCCTAAGGCAAGTTTGCGAACAAGTCTCGAGCAGCGAACCCGGGTTCGAGCCCCACTGTGTCCTTGGTACTAGGTATTTTTCCCTTATTTAGTGATAGTGGTTATGGACACCGGCGGCAGCCGACAACTACGGCGGCATGCGTGACCAAGGTTTTGATCTCATTACAGCTTTCACTGTAAAACATTTTTAAGGAGTCTCTTTCTGCACATCTGGCCTTTACACATGGTTTTGTGGCACCCAAAGCTTGACCAGAAAAATAGGCTTAGAAAGAAAGCTTAAGCATTGCAGCATTAAAAGAGAACATGTTTTATTATGCAATTAAGTTACTATCGTACAGCACAATTAGCTGTCAACAAACAAAATGAGAAGGCTGTTCCACTGATGAGGCATGCTGCTGCTCTAGTGTAGATCTCTGAAACATTGTTTCCAAGTGCATGGAGGCAACTGGGAGGTTCGATAGAAACTTATGTAGTGCAAAAGATGCTCTGAAATCCATTTTAACTCTCGTTACCGCGCGAAACTGGTTATTTTTTATATGTCTCTGGAAGATAATTTTTCCTGGTTCAAAAAGTCATTTCAGCATACCAAATTTTGCACAATGAAATGCTCTTTCCAAAAAAATATATGTTGTAGAGCAACAAAAATATTTTGGAATGAATAAAAATATGAAAAGTGTGTAACTTTCAGTTGCCGGCTAGTAAACAATGCAATAAAAAACACATATGCAAAAATATTCAAAACAAAAGAAATTCAGAATATACATTGAGAAGATGAATTGCAGAGAAATAATATAAAAAATAACAAATGCTGTACAAAATGTTTCTATTCGCATAGACAAAGAGAATCGGAACCGAGGTGCTGCATCATTGTTCATGCCATGAAATGAAGCATTGCTTGGTTTTTTGGTGGGACACAAGTGAACTCGTCCACATTTCTCAGTAATTCTTTTTTTTTTTTTTTTTTGTGACATGAGCATACAGGTGTTCCAATATATATGGATGTCCATGGTGTGAATAGTCCTTCTATATATCAGATGTCCAATGAACTTCGCTATGTTGTCTAGCGTCGCCTCTTTCCATGAGCCACCTCAATCTGCACAGGATGGCGTTCCAATATGTGCCTCAAAGCACATTTTTTTCATATTTGCACATTATATAAAAAAAAAATCAAACGTTTTGCACTGCTCAGTGGCCAGGGCCAAGATGTGCTCCAATGGCCTTCTGGTTGTGAGGAGGAGCTCTGCAGCCAGTGCCAGCACACCGCTCCACAGCGACGTGTGGACCGCACACGTAAACAAAGTAGCTATAAGATTGTACACAAAGGTCAGCAGCTATGCTCTTGTGCTGAAAGAGATGAGGCTGTAAACAAAACGTACCCATGAACACCTGCAGATGTCTCGATTAAGCCGACACAAAACATCATCGCCATTGAACTCGAAGCTGAGGTGCTGTCATAATCAAACTCTCGTCCTCACTCAATTCAGGTGCGGTTGCAAGAAAGTTTCAAGTGGCACATGTTTTTTGTAGCGCAGGTGATGCTGCCGCTATAGAAGCGACTAGTGACACTAGATGCGGCCGTGTGTTTGATATAATGATACAAGCGAAACCAAACCTGCTGGAAGCTGGCTGAGAAGGCCACCTCCACCCTTTGTACATGCAGCGGACCTTTGGAAATATTTGTTTTTTTTTTTCTGGAATAAATTTTTTCTGACGCTCAGTAACAGCTCTCTATTAAATACCTGGCATAAATTTCTGGTAATTATTACTGTTCAAAAGATTGCAAAGCTCACACATTAATTCGATATTTGACTTGCAAAGGTTCTTTTGATTACAGAACTTTCATCTTATAGTAGCATAATCACGAGGGGCACACGCTTCTGTCAAGTTTGCCAGCCAAGTGCATCTTCCCAACAGCATACATACATTGGTTGGCACACAGGCCTGTGAAAAATTTTCATGTTTTTATGTTGCTGAAATGGGCTAATTTAAATTGATTCTGAAAGTTGAGTGGCTGGACAAACTTCTGAAAAGTGCTGGGTTCAGGAGAAACAAATTCAACATACCAAAATTGATGATCTAAAGCGTCGATCACGGGTGATCGAATTGAATAGGCATACTAATTAAAGAGCTAGGTAAAAGGGGCACACTAGAGCATTAAGTAATATCTTTGCATGGTCTGAAATGTCGCTATTGTTCGAGCGATAGCTCGGTGCAGTGAACATTGTCTGTGGCCGAGTCTGTAAGAAAGTTCATTTTGGAGCTGAAACTGTGACATTGCCGTTTTTCTTGCATTTGTTTACGCGTATGTACCTGTGGGAGATATCACATTGGGCACTTTTCTGCACGTATCGCAGCTTGATGCCTGTGGAAAGGAAAGTACCGGTGTTCGTGTGTGACCCCGCAGCTGTGCTGTTGGAGCTCGTGCTGGCCTTGCCTCTGGACCTTGAAAAAGGTGGGCTGAGGTTTTTTTCACACTTCTGTTTCACCAACATAAAAATAAGTGCAAGGCAATTAATCTGGGAGACGTATGGTGGCCAGCCCGCGTGCACGAACGTGTATTCACCTTCTTACGATGATAAAAGACAGTCTAAAAATGGGCTTTTCTTTAGCTAAAAGGGCTCTTGGTAGTTAGGCGAAGAAAATGGTAAGCACTTGTTTTGGCATTAGTCCATTGTCTGTTGGGCACACGTGAGCAGTTCCAAAAAAGTAAATTCAAAGTCTCCTCCTCCTTCGGCAGTAAGCAAGCAGCTCAATTTCACAGTGCAGGCATAATTTATAGGGAGAAAGGCGCAGGATTTGAAGAAAAGATTTCTGTAGACTGCAACTTAAAGGCTGTGGACTGTAGGTTGCAGTGGTTGTGTGAGCGATTAGAGCATAAAAAAAACTACAGGAAGTATTGTCACTTGCAGTTCGGGTGGGTCGCCCCGCCGCGGTGGTCTAGTGGCTAAGGTACTCGGCTGCTGACCCGCAGGTCGCGGGTTCGATTCCCGGCTGCGGCGGCTGCATTTCCGATGGAGGCGGAAATGTTGTGGGCCCGTGTGCTCAGATTTGGGCGCACGTTAAAGAACCCCAGGTGGTCAAAATTTCCGGAGCCCTCCACTACGGCGTCTCTCATAATCATATGGTGGTTTTGGGACGTTAAACCCCACAAATCAATCAGTTCGGGTGGGTCATAGCACTTACAATCTTGTTTTAAAATTTTCTATTGATTTTTTTGGGGGACGTGCTCACTTTATGAAGATGATTTCAGATATGCACTCATTTTTTGCAAGTAGGATTTGTGGTACAAAAATATCAAACGTATCATGTGCTGCTTTGCAAGCACACGGCTGTCTAAACGAAAGGAGTTACGAAGAAAATCATCACTTCAAGATGATCTGGAATGAAAATAGTGTGCAAGAGAGCAATAATGGACTTTCTCAGTGCATTTAAACAAAAAGTTTGGTATGTTGAATATTCACAACCGAAATCCTCACTTGATTTAAATATTCTCACTCATCAATATGAGATTTCCGGAGAACTTTCTTGACATAAACCATGTGTGTCTCTTCTCCTCCTTTCCCTCTTTTTTTGCAGCGTACTACACATGTCTGGTACGGTCACTGTATGCAATCAACTACGTCCAGTCCTTGGTGCAGATCAGCTGCAGCCTCGGTCACATGGCACGGACCCAGTTCAAGCAGAAAACCCTCGGTTCTCCAGTGGGTGTCTTGTTCGGCTCTGTGATAGGAGCATGAGTATGTAGAATGCCCTTAGAACTTGAATAGAACTCTTTCTTCAGCCTTCAGCCTCGTTTGCTTGTTTCAGTTATTTCATTTGATTACTTAGTCTGCAGCAACCTTATTAGCCTCGGATGTGGTAGTCACTTAGTTTGGCATGCTTACTCACCAGTGCAGTGACCCTTAGTTAGGCTTGGGGGATCCTTAACGTACATGCCTACATCAAGGACAAAAATAGGGCTGTAATCAGGGCACACACATCATTCCATTGTCTGACCTGCTGCCTTACAAACATTATTTAGAAGGAAAGTGTAACTCTCCTATCGTTCACCCCTAGTTTTGTGTATGGCACTGCATGCAGTCTGCTGGTATTGCTGTGACAGTGACTGCATGCATGCATGCTTGATGGTTTCACAGTGCAAGGGTTTCTCAGCGTTTGCTTGTATGCTAGCTCTTTTGTTGTTTCATCCTGCTCCGTGTCCAATGTGGTAATCGTGCTGTTACGCTTGACAGGGCTAAACCCGCTGACCTTGCCAATCTTATACATGCTAGCTATTCTTTACTCTTTGTAAAGTTTACAAATTTCAGGCTAATGAAATATCTGTAAGGCTTAAAAATTTCAGCTGCAGTGGCTGAAGCTCTGCTTTGCCTATCTTTCGTGGGCCATTACATCAGTACCACACTAGAAGTCGATGCACATTGCAAGTGCCAGCGTCACTGTGGGGCATCGCTGGGGTACCGCCATCAATTCTGCGTGACCTTTTACCATAAATAGCAAGCACAGAGATGGAACGCCTGTGCCGTTTGGGCCATTGTGTGCTAAACTTGTTTATTTGCTCCAACCTGCTTCAAACCACCGCTGCTGCGCCAAACTCATTTATCAGCACTGTAGTGTGCTGTAGCACCCGAATGAGCCCCAAGGCACGACAGCCATCAAGCCCTGTCTGTGCCTGAAAACTTGACTGAAACATTGTGTTTTCGGTTTCATGAAAATGGTCATAGTTTCAGTCAGTTTCGTCAAGGCTGTGACCAGCTCGTGCAGCAGCTGGGAACTTTAATTGTAAGTGGCAGGCATCGGCACTAATGGCTCGTAGAACCTTCTGCGTGCTGCGCTTTAAACACAAAAGAGACTATGCAAAAGAGCAGCTCTCCCTGGAACAGCTATATTCTTTTACACCAGTGTTTTATAGAGTTACATGATATTGCATTCAAAAGTTAGCTGCCAACTATACTGCGTGTACTTTACAATAGGTTATTACCGCATTCAGTGCTTTGTCCTTGCAGTGAAACTGTGTAGAACTTGGTGGCAGCGTTCAGCAACAAAACACTATCGGTGCTCAGAATAAGGGCGGGTGGTATTTGGTTCCCGAAACAGGCTAGCAAAAGCAGGTGCACAGGACTGCTCATTGACCACATGTGAGTATTCTTGTTCATTTCGCCACTGTGCTTCATTATACAGCACTTATCGACTTGGTGGTTGACACTCGCGTGTTCAGTTAAAAAAAAGGGTGGCTGTACATAGTTAAAAAGTGAGTTTCACCGCTAGGGTGAAGCAGTGAATCCGGTAGCAAGAAGTTGCAATGTTATACAAAGTGCGACTGTCCACTAACTTTTTTCGTTCCGATCTGACGTAACTCTACAAAACGCTGGTGTAATAATAATGATAATTGTTGCAGTTTAACGTCCCAAAACCACAATGTGATCATGAGAGACACTGTAGTGCAGGGCTCCAGAGATTACGACCACCTGGGGTTCTTTAACGTGTTTCTAAATCTAAGCACATAGGCCTCAAGCATTTTCGCCTCCATAATAAATGTGGCCACCGTGGCTGGGATTCGATTCCGCGACCTGTGGATTAGCAGCCGAGGGCCTTAGTCACTAGACCATCGATTTCTAGTGGCTGGTGTAAGAAACGCTGGTGTAAAAGAATACGGCCTTTCAGGGACAGCACAGTCTTTTCGTAATGGGAGCATAGCACGCAGTCCACTGATGGTCGCCAAGCTCTTGCATGTGCCAGCAATCGTGACCGCAATCATAGTAAAAGCGACAATTTCCCACCACCCCTCCCCGCGTCTTGTCATGCTTGTTGATGACGGTCGTGTTACCTTTCATCTGCTTCGATGATAGGCCTTCGTATCGGTGTATTGGGGTGATGTTATTGCATCTGCCCTCCAAAAAACAGAGATTGGCCGGCTCATTTGATCACTGTTTCAGGTGCGTTCGTCGCCTCCGCTCGTGCGCTTTTACCCGCGGGGGGGGGGGGGGGGGTAGAACACACTGTGCTGGTTGGATGTCATCAATTTGTACTTTATATGGGACGGGGACAGCGAAAACCTGTCTAGAATTTTCACATAATTGCTATTGCACAGGCTGTTGAGGCTGTTGAATTTGAGGCTGTTGCACAAATTATGCTTCACAAATGCTGTGAAACGGGGCCACATCTGCTCTGAATGCTCACTCTGACTGCACCAAACTTGCTCGAAAAGGCCATTCCGGATGCTCCCAGCCTGCTCCAAAATGTCTTTTTGGATGCTCCGAGCCTGCTACAAAAGGCACTTTTGGCTGCTCCATGGACTACTCCCAAACTCATGTATCCTGTTCCACTCCTGCAAGCATGACCTTGCATTCTCTGCTGACTCAGTGCAGCCTTTTGGTGGTTTCTGTGGTGCATTAATGGTCCTTGCTTTAATTTTTCACAGTAAGCTTCATACGCATACTTGTGGAAGGTCTTCGTTTTTGTGCATTGGCTAGCTAGGCTTTGAATTCAGCGATTGTACCAAGCAGAAGGAGAACAGTTTTTATTCAAGAATTATGCAAATGGTTTCCTCAATCCGGGAGGCAACAAGGGTTTGTCGGCCAGGAGTCTCTGCTCCCTGGCCGACCTATGTAAAGGCACCCGCTAAACCTGAGAGCAAACATGCAAAAGGGGCATGCAAGGCATATTGCATTTGCTAGGTCCTCAGATCTGATCTTGGCAAGCAGGTCTGAATCACCCGCCCCGTGATCCAGACCTTGTCACCAAGGTTGAAGCTTAGGACCGAGCAGATGCCATATGCCTTGCATGCCCCTTCTGCACATTTGCTCTCTGGTTAAGCGGGTGTCTTTACATAACTTTTGCGCAGCTATGTTCCACTTCTTCATTGGTACTTGCTTGGTTGTAATGTGGTAGGTTCGCCATTGGAAGAGCAGACAAAGGTTATATTCGAATCTCGCCCCAAAACATTAGTGTGGTCATGTAATCGTGAAATAAAAGTTTAATGTCTCTCATACTTTGGACACATTGGCTGAGTAAAATTTCCTGAGGCTTTCTTGGCAGTCTCTGGCTGCCACACAGTGTAACTTAGTTTTACAGATAATTACGCGGATGGTAGCAGGTGCCACCAAAGATCTAGGATGTCATGTGGAGTTGTTGCATGAACTTGATGAAGGTGGAGATGCCCACTGTATTTCTTTGTCTTTTTTTTTTCACATTTTCGCACTTATCAACTGTCATCTAAAAACAAGAGTGTTGTTATTGTTATTGTAGAAGAGTAGTTCACTGCTACAAAAAAAAATAAGTTTGTTTTTCTAGTGTCCCTTTAGACCTGTTCATTCGAATTGAAAAACAGAGAGGCTGAGGGTGAATCGCCCTTGAACATGTAGTAGACTAGGCCACAAAAAACCATGCGTTCATTTTCATTGCCAGCTGCAAGTTAATCCCTGCTGTGGTTCTTTTGTCTACTTGTAGAATTCCCTGGAATCCGCAGACTCCGTGCTCGGCCTTCTGGTGGAGCAGCTGGAGCAGGGCAACCTGTACATTGACGACGAAGACATGGACGCACAAGTGGTGAGCACAAGTGGTGGGACTCAAATGGGTCCTTTGTGCATTTACTAATTCATTCATTTTGTTATCTATTGAACATAAACCTCCATGGCCAGTAAGCACCACCTAAAGAACTCTCGAGTAATGTAGTGCATAACAAATGCACTTTTCAATATACAGTCAAACTACGCTACAACGAATGCCTCTTCAACAAAAATTTCACAACTCTCCGTCAGCATTTCATAGGAGTAAATGCATAAATAATGTCGCCACAATGAACACCTTTCCTTCTATCGTCCTGCTTCAACAAAATTTTACGTTGCAACTCCAGGCTCAGATACTTATTTCTATGCAGTAAACCCAATCTTTAACATTTAGATGCATTTTCATAGCCTGAATATGCGTTAACGAAGTAAGTCTAAAACACGCATTGGCAGCACCAGAAACTGCCGCTGTTTAGCAAGCATGGACGTCGCCATTGCTCGATGGCGATGGCAATGAGACTGCCCGGCTTTTGCCACTGGCTTGCTTTTGACTTTTCGAGCCGCAGACGATCCGAAGCTGAAGCTCAATCGCTCAGTTCATCCTTCACGCAGCTGCTGGGTGCAACCGCGGAATGATGCCTTTTCTGATTCCAATGCTTATCATTATGCTCGGGCTTGGCCAGTGTGATAACTAATCGGAGCGGCTGTTCGTCCGTATTATCAACAAAATCAGCTAGCCGTGAGTGATGGATGATAAGAATGGCATAAAATAATACAAAAGTTGCCACTCCACGATACCCTACTTCCATCTGGCGTTGCCAGATACTTTTCACGGCGGACAGCTGCTGGTGTTAAAGTGTTTCTTATATAGGGGTTCGACTGTACATGCATAGGTCATGTCAATGGCACAGAATGCTTACGCCAACCTGAACCAATATAAGACATGACATACAGCAGGACATTGTTAGACCTTCTACAATGTATACACATTACAGTACAAACCAGTTTCATCACTAAAGGGGGCACTACGGAAAAAAACATGAACGCCTACTGTACATTAAAACTAGTGCTGAGCTTGAGGTATTAGGTTGATTTGCAAACAACGACTGCCACACACACCGCCGAGGACAAAATAGGATAAAGAAAAAAAAGGCCACTTGTGCAAATATGTTTTGGAGTGCATTAGAGAGATTCATTACTGTACACGTGACACCATGCTATACACTAAATCGTAACGGGTAGATCCTGGTCATGTGCACAATGTAACTGCAGTTATGCATGGAGGACGCCTCTACTTTTATTGCAATTTCGAAAGAGGCACCTGCATAGACTATTTTGCATTTAAAACGTGGCAGTGCCCTTGAAGCGGGAGCTGTTTGCTTTGCATTAATCATCGCTTCCCACCTCCTTGCTAACACACTCACCCGCAATGAAAGGTATACTAGGCCAATTCACCCACATTTTTTATTCTTGCTTTAGTAATAGAGTGCAGACTAATAAAGTGCAGACAATTCAATCTTTTTTTGTTTGTTTTTAACAATTATGCTCGGCACACTCCTGTGCTTGTGAAGTTTTGCGCTTGTGTCACACGCTTTCTTAGATGTGGTAAAGCTCTTCCCAATAGCACTGCAACAGGACTTGTGTTGTTACAATCGAACCCCGGTATAAGAAACTCTGATATAAGAGACAAATGGGTATAAGAGGCACCAGTGCACCTACAGTGAAATACGAGTTGATATATGCATACGAGGTACCCTGCTTTTAAGAGACGTCTCATATACAGTTGAACCACTTTATAAGAGGCATGCTCCGGGTAGCAATCCTCACCTTTTATAGGAGATGTCTCTTATAAGCAGGATATCTTGGCTGCATTTTTCTACCTACCCGTATTTTATTGCAGGCACACTGGTGTCTCTTATACCCATTTGTCTCTTATATCAGTGTTTCTTATAGAAGGGTTCGACTGTAAAAGACAAGAATAGCTTCTCCGAGGATGCCTTTTATATGGGAGTTTAACGATATTTTTCTCAAATATTCAGTTTGAACAATCAAATTTTCAAAATTGAACAGCTTAATTAATTCCCCCACCCCCCCAAAAAAAAACTCTGCACATTGAGTGTATGGTTGACTCTACTCGTAATTTCACACTTCATTCGCCTGTAAAAAACAGTATGAGTTGAATGCACTGGGAACTTTTTCTTTCGCATCAAGACTGATGTTAGTACTTTGTTCACACCTTCTGCATGCAATTTCGGATCGACCAGCGACAGAAAAGCCAACAGCTGTCGGGGCCCCTGCTGGAGAAGCAAGTGGTGGCCATGTGCGGACCATTCCTGCGAGTTGCCGCCCTGCTGCAGTCACACCTCTTTGAGGAGAAGCTGCCCACCACTGCGGTGAGCGTACATTAATAGGCCGCACTTAGGTTCTCACTTTTAGCTGTCTCTGTGCTACCACAGTTAAAGATGTATGGTAGGGTAAACCTCCCAAAAAAAATCACAGCATATCCACAGAGTGAATGATGATGAGTGGGGCGAAGCGTTCGTCAGCCCGTCCATGCTTTTATCCGTCCGTTCATTCTTGCTTCCGTCCGTTCGTGTGGCCATCTGTGCGTTCATCTATGCGTCCGCCCGTCCGTCCATGCGTCCGTCCTTGAGTCCGTTTATCCATCTGTCTGTTCGTGCATCTATCCGTCCGTACGTCTGCACGTCTATCCATCCCTTTTTGCGTCCATCTAGCGAACACTACAAGTAGGGCCATCTCCCATCTCGCATCCCCTGTGGCACATACCCGCTCTAGTGCCGGTGTGTGCCACCGGTGGCTACATACATACAAGGGATGGACAGACCCACGGCTTAAGGAGCTTCGCCCCTAAAAGTCGAATTCGCAATTTTGTCAGCGAGAAATCCACTGCACTCTGAGGAACAAACCTGTGGAAGCCTGACGTCGAGCGGCCGCTCCAAACAGTTTAAATGCCGCGCCCAAAGTGTGCAGCACGCCTTCTGACGTTAGCAGTACGCGCGCATAAATATTCGTTTTTCTTGAAATGTATTTTTTGTAAATTTTGTAACTTCAGTGTACATTTTCTCAAAAAATACTGAATTGAATCTGATAAAACTTTGCATGCATACACTACAAGTGGGAAGCAATCTGAACTAAAACAATTGCTGATTTCGTAAAAATTGAATCTGTAAAAAATTACACAGCGATACGCTCTGCTGCTTTGTGAATGCAATTTTATTTTTTTCTGGCAGGAACTGCCTACATAATGTCTTATTTTTCTAGCTCAGACATAACGTATGTGTATCTAACATAACACAACTGAATATCATTACATTCCTTTCGGTTGTTGCTGATAAAAAGTAAATTGATTGAGTGATAGGCAACTTATGGCATAAAAAAAGCATGTCTAATTTTGTATGAATTCTTGCAGCTACTTCTAAAATATTAAGTTGAAACTGACATACACCGTATACCCTATCATACCCCCTTAATTAACTTTTTCATTAATATGCCTATTCAAATCTGTCATCGGGATCGGTGCTTTGGGCCGTTAATTTTGTCATGTTGTATCTGTATCTTGTGCACCAAGTATTGTCTGGTACGTAGTCCGGCCTCTCAGCTTTAGTAATCAATTTGAATTTGCTCGTTTTGACAACGTAATGATTTTTGATAGACCTTTGTGCAAACCAATGTGCGTGAACACTCCATCTAGTGAACACTACAAGTACCGCCATCTCCCATCTTGCATCCCCTGTTGTTGAGAAAATGCACTTGGCTGGCGAACTTGACAGAAGTGCATGCATTTCATGGTTATGCTATAATAATATCAAAGTTCTGTAATTAAAAGAACCTTAGCAAGTCAAATATCAAATTCATGTGTCAGCTTTGCAATCTGACAGTGCTGAGCAGTAATAACTGCCAGAAATTTATGCCAGCTATTCTATTGAGAGCTGTTGCTAGAAGTCAGAGAAAATTTACTTTACAAAAAAAATATTTCCAAAAGTCTGTGCGATGTATAAAGTGTGGGGGTGGCCTTGTCAGACATTTTCCAGCAGCTTTGGTTTCGCTTGTATAATTTATACTAGACATAGGGCTGCATCTAGTTTCACTAGTCACAAATATAGCATCGCCGTCACGCATGTGAATGTACCAATAAGTTTAGAGCTGCCACCAGCTTTGTTGATCTGTTGAATGCTAGCTCTGCTCCTCTTGGTACAAACTTGAGAAATGTCTGGTTCTCTGAGTCTGACTTTTGAGCTCAGCCAAAGTCATGATGGCGCCTCTAAGCTGCCTGAGCGGTGCAGAAAGTTTGTTTACCCACGAGGTGATGCAAAGTTCTCTCCTGTGAGTTCAGGCCAATGTTTCTGCCAATGCTCTTAGTGTACAAACGGGCCGTCTCTTTAGTGCCTGGGGCGCTGGCTTTATTCAAGTTCGCTGTGCATTCGCATCGATTCTGCCGAGCAGCATCTTTCGTGTTGTTCTGTTATGCAGTTGTAGATACGTTGACTTCTGCATCGAAAGCAGTTGTCTGGCAGCCTCTTCATCAGAATCAGGCATGGAAAAAAGAAAACGGACTTCAGTCGCTGAACCATGAAGCTCAAAAGATATGACTTGACAAGCTTGGTTTAAGCACATTGAACCATGACAATTGAATAATGATTCTTTTGTAAGTTATGTCTTACATTTTCTCATTTGCATTTTATTTATCTGGGACAGCATTTAAAATGGCATAACTGGAATGGAGGGGCAAATTCAAGGAGGTTAGCTGACGTCTGTGTAGATTTCCACATTGACATTACATGCTCACCATACCCTCACTTTCATGTGTGTTTTTTTTACGCTAGAATGGATTTAAACTCATGATCACTTGTATTCAAAAAGAAGTGATTTCATCCCTTTCTGTGGCATTTGCCTAGAGTGGCTTATTGTTTGCAAGGATACTATGTGATTATTATGATCAGTGGGGCTCATCGGTTGAAACAAACCATGTCTCAGTAAAAAACTGGCTGCATGAGTAATTACCACATTGTCAATTTCTCCTCTCAGGTGACGTGCATGTAAGCAAGGGTCGTGTCCCATGCAGGCGAGTTCTGTTTTTGCCTTATAAGTGAACGTATGTACGCAGCAGGCACAGCTTGCCCGAACATGTTATTATAATGATACAGAACTGACATGCAAAGCTGTGTGTTGAAGGTGAGGTTGTGGCAAGTTAGAGAGGTTCTCAGCGAGGTGGACCCAAACATTTACAACGAAAGCTTTTGCGAGATCACCGCAAGGGTCGCATGCGCCACAGTTGTCCACCACCACCGGCGGTGTCCGTAACCACTATCTTACGAAGAAAACAAACTAAGTAAATAAAAGCCATCAAGGACAGTGTGACTCGAACTCGGGTCGCCTGTGTGCCAACCCAGTATTCTACCACAGAGCCACGCCAGTGCTTTGAATCTCCATTGCAAGCTTGCCTTTGGCAGGCTTGATGTCGGGAAAGGAATCACGTTAACATGAGTAATAAAGTGTTTTAGAACAGCAAAGGAACCACCAGGCGTCACATAATGCGAATTGCATAACGAGTGGGTCGTCCAATGCTCCAACCCATTACAAGAGCCTCAGGCATAATTGTTCGTCGTCAGCCACAGCATCAAAAAATTATGCAAACTTTCTTGAATATGTGCAAAGGGTAGCACGCTTCTCCGTAGAATGACGAAGAATAGCATAGTGAATGGCTGCCTACTACACAAAAATTATGATCATTTATGGTGTAGTGGGTACCCCACAAGTGTGCTTGTAGCAGTTACCTAAAGAGTGTTTAAAAAGGCTCTGAAAGGCCGCTCTTCCAGCTCCAGGGACTGTGCTCTGCATTCTACGCAGGCCTGGCAGTGTTTTGGCCAAACCTTTTCTAACATTGCTTTGTCATCTGTACGTGCCCGGTTGGAATGAATATTGATATGGCATTTGTAAATTTTTTCTCTTTTACTCGTTTTTGCTAAATTGTGGTGTCCATCTCCTCTGCACTAGGTCATGAGTGCCAGCAAGCATGAGATGACACTAGAGAAGATGACTGTAGTAGTACTTGATTTTACAAACCCGTTTTATTGTTGGTGCTTGGAAGTGGAATGTGTCGTAATGTTTTGATACACTGGCACATTTGACTCCATTGATTGACCTGAGTGCAGCTGAAAGAAGCATGCATAGTACTCATGTCTGCTCCCATGAGCAACACCATTCCACCTAGACTTGATTGCTACATGAGGTGCTTGTTTGGGCCAGCTGGTACTTCATTGAACTGCCAAGTAGCGCAAACTTCAGGGGCGAGAGATAAGAGAATTCGACACACGAGCACCTACACATATCAGAAAACAAAAATAAAAGAAAAACATTAATTGTAATGTCGATGTGCCAGCCCTGGCGGTTGGAGACCAACGTCATCACCTGCCATAAATGTTCTAAAGCCTTTCTGGCCCATAGTACTCCCTCATTGCCATCCTTCAATGCCCCAGTGTGTAGTTTCTACAGCACTGAAAGTATGTTGTACTGTATGTCGGGAGGGGCCCCCTTTAAGAACACTAAGGTTGATGCAGCAACCTGTACAGAGTCAAGGCGACCTTTAGAAACAGCACACTGCCTCTTGAGGAATGTTCTTATGGTTCAGTTTTACTAATGCATTTTGTATATCATTTTTCTGGATTTTTTCGTAATTTGGTCCAGCTCTGTTGTATTGAGCCTTGAGTATTTTTTTGTGGCACCTGTTCATTCGTGGCATGTTTTTGCTCTTGGCAGGATCCCACAGATGAGCTGGCCGCACTCTGCCTCTTCCTGGGGCTCGGCCATGAGGGTCAGTCTGCGCATGTGTCGACAGCGGGCGTTTCCTGGGTCACCGAGAGCCCCCAAGCACTCGTGCGCTCTTGGTGCCGCGAGTTCAACGAGTTTGCTGGCGTAGTTCCAGTTGCTGCGAGGGTAAGTGGGAAGAAAGCTTTGTGGCAGTTAAACCTGTATTAGTAGAATTTCAAACTATTGTTTGAACACTCTGGAGCTGGTATCGTGAGTCTCAGAATTGTGATTTGAGCCAAAATTTGAGAAACCAGATGCCAAAAGAGCTTCAGCATTAGAAATTCAGATTTTTTGTGTTGTACACTGACTTCATGGAGCTTGAGCCTTTGCTGTGATAGCATCCGAGTTATTAGGCATGTATACATAATCAGGCATCTGAAAAATACCAATGGTATTAGACTACCATGATACAGGGGCGTTTATTACATCACTATTCACAGAATCTCTGTGTCTTCATCCTGCATGAGAGACAACTAGTTTGCGGAGAAAATTGCACTTGGCGAAAAGACACGTGGAATACTTGATCACTCCAATTGCTGGTCACCACTTCTCTTGATTGAAATGAAGCACCGCTGTCATGCTTGACTAAAGTTGCAAACACTACAAATTTCTCCCAGCTTGTGTAGCAGGCATTTGAAAAGTGGTTTTGTTGTTGCAGGACAAAACGATAACGCAATATTTTTCTTGGATACTGTGGGAATTGAGGCTAACCCATCGCCTTTGCGCAGGCTTCGATACCTCTTTCTGCATTCTCATGTCCCAACATGACTCTCCTTTCCTCGGTGGTCTGCCGTGCTGGGAGAGTGGGGAGTGACATTTAACCCCTCTCACACGGTAGCGAATGTCGACTGTGGCGCCGCGCGCAGACACCCGGGTCATTTTGCTTGCGCGCACGCGTCGGGAGTGAGAGAGACCTTTCCGAGGTCGACATGGGGGTAAGCGCGCTTTTCTTTTCCATCCGTCGGCTCCCTTTGTTTGGGGCTTGGGGCTCGTTTGAACTTTGCCAACAGCGCCTCGCACCCGCGACGAACGCTTGCCTTATGTCCCCCCCCCCCTTTCCGTACGCTAGGCTGAAGAGCAGTGCGGTGTCCTAGTGTATGGTCAAACTGCGCCGACCCATATCTCTCCGAAGCCAATGCAAGCGCCTTTCCCCTCACTCGAGCAACCGGGCCTTTGTCCCGCTGTCTCCGTGAATCACTTTTACCACAGAGACATGCTCGCGGCACCCCTGTGCACTACTTCTTGCTCGTGGCGTGGATAAGCCCATTCGCTTTCCCGCCGCGCCTTTGCAACGGGCTGTGTTCTGCGTTTGGGTGTTACCGCAGACAATGAAGTCTTGCCACCTTGAGAAGTACTGTGTTCTCGCCATGGAGACGGTTAACGCGTGCTCTGCGGCTCATTAAGACTGGACCCACGCTAGTGGCCATACTCCTTTGCGATACGTGTACACTACAATACTTAGGGCATATCGGGAGGTTTGACGGGCATGTTTCTTATGATGGAACTGCAAAAACGAAGCAAAAGTACTTCACTACACTAGACTCGCGATAATTCAAACTCTGATAATTCATACTTTCAGTTAATTCAAACAAAACTGAATTTTTTGGATGGCCCTTTATTCTTTCAATGTATTAAAAAACCTCTTAATTCAAACTCTGTCATTTGGTTATTTCATACTTTTTGTACTTCTGTACCAGAAAATATCTGCTGCTTTCCCACTACTATTTAAAAATTTGCGTGTGTATACTCCTGAAAGTCTAAAAATGAAAAATAAGCACCTCAGCGCTTCAAGAAGAAAGGATTTGAAAGTAAACAAATGTTTGAAACGAAGCAGGCGCATGGTAAACTGTGGTGCTTCTCAAATGGTATTGCCACGTTCCATTACCCAAGTTTTGTTATCGTCCCAAAACACTACACAATTCTCAGCGCAAACAGCGCCTGCAGTTTTCAAGAAGCTTCCAGACTGTAGTAGATCATTTTGATAAGATGACGCCTCTTTGCGAACTGTACAGATTATTCTGGAACCTACGCTACCGCCAGCGATAACTCTAGAACATTCGACGGCAAGAGTATAAATGCCGACGCGCTTCGCCGCTTGTCAGTAGTTGATCGACAGCTGACGCTCCGTTCACTGCTATCTGTGCAAGACTGCTACTGTAATCAAACTTTCCGTTTACCGGGCACAAGTTCGCCCAAGTAAACAGTTAAATCCCAACATAGAGTCTCCTGTCTTCGGCCACGTCACGACACCGTGACATCTGGTGGAGGTGCTGCTTCGTTCATGTAACGGATGCCCCCGTCAAGCCGTGAACCCAGCCCACATCGCGGAGAAGACACCGACGCCAACCAGGAGCAGCGAACAAGCCGCCGACAGCAAGGGCTACCACCGGGGTACAGGCTTCTACAAGTCAAGGCACGGAAGACCAAGGCCATGACCGTGACTGCAGCGACAATGACAACCGCGGCGTCCCAGCCCACGGTGGTCATGCATCAACCCAGGGAACCACCAATTTTCCATGGGTCATCGTTCGAAGACCCGGAGTCCTGGCTAGAAACATACGACCATGTGGCCGCCCTCAACCACTGGGACCATGACGAAAAGCTCCGTCGTGTGCTTTTCTATTTGGAAGACACCGCAAGGACCTGGCTCGTTAATCGAGAGTCTATGCAAAGTATCCTGTCTTCGGCCACGTCACGACCCCGTGACAGTATAGAAAGCTTTGTGCTGAAGGCACATATAGCATTGAAGCAGTGGGCAATTCACAATTACTTTAAAAGGTCTCATCAGCAGTAAATGGCCAATAAACTTGTGCACCTTACACCTTTGCTTTTTGTTCATTGTGTGCAGTTGGAATTTAAAAATGCTTAAAAAATTTTAAATGTTGTAAAGTCAATGCCTAGTCATAATGTGTGGTGTCACCTTGCCCAGAGTCATATAGCTGAGAACTTCTGATAATTCAAACTTCTTGATAATTCAAAAGAAATTCAGAGGTTCCTTTGTGTTTGAATTATTGAGAATCGACTGTAGTTTGTTCACGAAGGCGTTTCTCACTGTTTTCTTTCTGTGTAGTCCCCGTGCAATGTTTTGCTGGCAGAATTAGTCCCGGCGTATGTAGCCTAAAGGCTTAAGGAAATTTGAGTAGCCTGCATTGCTGTAAAGCCTTCTTCATTCTCGCCACAGAGCTTGGTGTCGGTGCGGTGGAATTGGGCCCAGCCACGGCTGCTGTCACTGCCGGGCCGCTATGACGACCTCTTCCAGTACTACCACAGCCGGGCATGCAGCAATTGCCACAACGTGCCCAAAGACCCATCCGTGTGCCTCGTGTGTGGCACGCTGGTCTGCCTGCGTGAAAGCTGCTGTCGCCAGCAGGCGCACTTCGAAGCCGTGCATGTGAGTCGTCAGCTCGAGTACCCTTCCTTGCCCTCCTTGGTGGCTCATTAGCCTGCATCAGTTTTGGCACGCAACTCTTGGTAGTGGATCTTTTAGGGCAAGATATGCAGTAGCACTGCTCAGAGTCTATTATGCAATAAAAACAGAAAACCAGATAGCAAGAATGTTTGCATTGTTATAGTAACCTGGAATCAATGTGAAGTCAAAATCGAGATACCACCGTATTTACTCGCATAATGATCGCACCCCTAAATTTTGTCGTCTAAATTCGGCTTTTTTTTTCTCGCGTAATGATCACACCCTGAACTTGCTGCATCGACATGTCATGTGCCAAGTCTAGCTGAACGTGCCTATTATTGTTTCTGTGATCTGAAAACTGGCATCACTATGCTAATGCTGTAAATTTACTCATTTAAATGAAAGCATTCCTTATTTAGAGGGAAGAAACTGTTCTGACGCGTGTGACGTACTCACAACCTCCATAACTGACGCAAAGAAGAAAAAAAATGCGGTGGCTTCGCTCCACGAAGTGCTTTGCTCCGTCAGCCGCCATGTTTGTTTTGACATCCCGCACTGTTACAGCGGCGGCCGCCTGTTGGTCGACCTTTGCTCATCCCGCATCAATGTTTTTTTACCTGAGACCACGTTTCTTTTTCTTGGTGTGCTTTGCGATCGTCTGTTGAAGCGCCGTTTCACCATGGAGCGGTATGCGAGCTTTAGTTCCGCGTTCAAGCTGAAGGCGCTTGACTACGCGCTAGAGCACGGCAACCGCGCTGCCGGCAGACATTTCAGCGTCGACGAAATCTGGATCCGATATTGGAAAAAACAGCACGACATGCTCATGGCTACTAACAGCACGCGATGGGCTTTCCGCGGACCCAAATCTGGCAAGTTCCCCGACATTGAAAAGGCAGTCCTCGAATACGTGAAGGACATGCGCAAGGACGGTTATTCAGTGTCATTAGACATGATACAGATGCAGGCGTGCACAGTTTCCCGGAGGCTGGGAATAGCCACAAAGGACTTCTGCGCCAGTTTTGGCTGGACGTCACGCTTCATGCGGCAGAATAGACTGTCGCTGGCATTTCCAACGCGCTCGACGGAACGGAAGATGATCTCCTGTGGGACAGTGAAGACGTTGCCGGTTCTGACAGGGAATCGTGCGGTGACGACACTGACGCCAGTGAGGCTTCGGAGTCTGAATGAACGTTAGGGGGTCAGAGAGGTAAAAAATAAAAGGGCAGTGTGCCATGCATGTAGCTCCTGCGTAATGCGTTCATTTTATTACAAAGGTAAGCTTTAATTCACTTTTATTTTTAGTTATGTTCATGATAGCTATCGTAAGAATTCTGATTAGCGAATTTTTTGCGTTTCGGTGCTCAGTATATTTTTTCACGGAAAGTTTACCCCACGTAATAATCGCATCCCGAAGTTAGGGTCAATCTTTTTGAAAAAAAAAAAAGAGTGCAATCATTATGCGAGTATACCGTATTTACTCGATTCTACCGCGCCCTCGATTGTAACGCGCACCCGATTTCCCCGACGAAAAAAAAATAATGTAAGACATCGATTGCAATGCGCACCCATTTTTCTCGATGGCCCGCATGATATCACACCACTCGAAAAAACGACTCCTTTCGGGAGCGTCTTCTATTTAAATATGAGGTAAGGGCGAAGCTTGTGCCCATCTGACGTGTAACAGAGCATTGCCGTCACTGTAGTTTTACCGTGGACCGATGTCAGCACGCAAACTTGCTTCGCCCCCTTCTTCTCGACGGTTGTGGTGCCAGGCATGTCGAAGTAAAGAGGCGTCTGATCGGCATTCCCGATTTGCCCCAGCAGGTAGCCGTTGTTGTGCCGCAAGTTTAGGACGAACCTCTGAAAACTGTGAAGCTTTTCATCGTACTCCTCCGCAAAACTATTCGCATATGCCCGTTCCCCTTCGGAGAGAAAAGCCTTTCCTCTTCATAAAGTTAGTTAGCCAGCATCTGCTCGCTTTAAACTGGCTCCGCATTAGACTTTTTCTAAGGCTAATTGCATAGCCCGCACTTGGAGCAGTTCTGTCGTCACGGGCCGCTGTGGCGCTCGCTACTCAAGCACATACTCGCCGAGCAGCTCTTCAATTTGTGGAAACCGACCCTGCTGGGGTCCACTAAAGCCTTTGCGTGAAGTGAAGCTTTGCTGTCGACAGTCTTCTGCTTTTGTTTTTGCCAGTCCCGCAAGCACGTTTCGGGAACTCCGAACGACCGCGATGCGGTCCGATTTCCGTCCGTTTCTGCACACGCGATGACTTTTCTTTTAAAAGCGGCATCATGGTACACTCGAGTTTTTGGAGTCGGCCCTTCCGTGCCGTCGATGCTAATGCACTACCAGATGACGAACTCCTCAGCACACGTACAAAGTGCCGCACATGGGAAACACATAGGCAGTAATGGCTGACGCGCCACGCCGACGCTCGTAGGGGGCGGCCATTTTGGAAATGCCGATGGCAATAGAATGACCATATTCATTTTTTTTTTTCGCACTGGATTATAATGCGCATGCGATTTATGAACTCGCTTAACCGGAAGAAAGGTGCGTGTTAGATTCAAGTAATTACGGTATACGGTATCACTAAAAGCTAGCAAATCATTTTCAAATCATGATATATGCACCGAACATTTATTTTCGTAAAAAGAGCGCTCGTATGTAGGCTTGTGTGAATGTATGAGCACTTCGAATATTCAAATTAATATATTATTTGAATTCGCTGCGATTCAAGATTAAATAATAGGAATTTTTGAAGTATTCGAAATGAACCATTTAGTGTATATTACTGTATTTACGTAATGAAACCACTAGCATAATAATCCAAAAATTTATTTTTTTAATGTATATGTTAATTTTGCTGAGGTAGCCAGTACTGTTGATAGTCGAAGCAAGGTTCAATCACCTCATTCTATCGCAACATAACGCCGCAATAAAAATGAAAGCGTAGTTCAACAACCGTCCTGAACAGTCGTGAGTCTGTACGAAGTCGATCGAGATTTAAAATTCACACCTTTTGGGGCAGAGCACCATCTGTCAAACGCAGAAGAAAGGACACTACAGGGTCAATTGTGAAACGAGATATGTTGCAACGTTGCACGCATTGAGAAGCAGCCGCATAGTTCCTTTATTTTCATCATGCCGTACGCGCGAGCCCGGATAAAAACGCCGCGATGTCCAAAAACCACTGCTCTGTCCTGCATGTGTGGCATCGTGGTGGAAGGATGGCAACATATTGTGCTATCAATTCCCGAAGGATGCAGACAATGCACTAAAAAGAACGTCGTTGATCATAGACTTGCACATTGGAAAGAAGGTGAGGAACACTATGGTGGTTTGTTCTAATCATTCTGTTCACGATGACTTCATTCTCTGCGGTCAATACACCACTATTTTGCATGTGTACATTCTTGTGAACACTTGGGCTTCTCTACTTGGGCTTCTCTAAGCACAAAGGATAGTTTCGCTTATATAGCAAACTCTTTAGTAAAATTTGTTGCATTATATATTAAACACGAACGGTAAAAATGAAGCGATCTTGTAGTCTGCCTTTTCTATGATATGATAAATATTCAAATGCTTCGAACATTCGAACGAATACTCTATTTACTCGCATAATCCTCGCACCTTTGTTGTCGGAAAACCGATGAAAAGTTGAAGGGGTGCGAGAATTACGCGGGGAAAACTTTCTACGAAAACGTACAGAGCGAAAAAGAAAACGAAGTGGCCGCAAATCGGGATTCTCACACCAGCAACTATAACAGAAAGCTTTAAGAAGTACTAATTAAAACTTACCTCAACAATAAAAGCAGAGGTTCAACACAAGACAAGATTTAATTCAGACAGAAAAAGTGGAAGCAAATAGTCTAGAATTAGAATACCATTCGCAAAGCTTGAGGACGTTACGGGTGTAGCGGTAGCGTTCGTCGCTCAACAGGAGTCCCAAAAGGTAAGCGTGGGACGTCAGTATTGGGCTGATGGCTATTTAACAGAATTGTCCGCAGTTTCCTTCTTAAGAAATAGTTTACCATCAATCCCAATTTTAGGCACACGGCAGGCCCAACGCGTCTTGGTGCCTTTCAGCAGCTATCACCAGTAGCGAACACAAAACTCGTAGACTCCTTAGGACCTACCCGCGGCCCTGTTGCCGTTCTCTAGTGCATTATCTATCACTTGCCATATACATAGCCTATACATAACCACTATACATAGCCTTCATAGATTACGAGAAGGCATTTGATTCAGTAGAAATATCAGCCGTCATGCAGACACTGCGGAATCAGGGCGTCGATGAAGTATATATAAACATCCTGGAAGAAACCTACAGGGGATCAACTGCTACCATAGTGCTTCATAAAGAAAGCAACAGAATACCAATCAAGAAGGGTGTAAGGCAGGGGCACAATCTCCCCATTGCTATTTACCGCGTGCTTACAGGAGGTTTTCAGAAGCCTAGAATGGGAAAAATTAGGGATAAAAGTTAATGGAGAGTACGTTATTAACCTGCGCTTTGCCGATGACATTGCATTGCTGAGTAACTCAGGGTACGAATTGCAATTCATGATTACGGAGTTAGACAAGGAGAGCAGAAAGGTAGGTCTTAAAATGAATCATCAGAAAACGAAAGTAAAGCACAACAACCTCAGAAAAGAGCACCGCTTCGTGATAGGTAATAGTGCATTTCAAGTTGTAAAAGACTATGTCTGCTAAGGGCAGCTAATAACCGCAGGGCGGAACTACAAGATTGAAGTTACTAGAAGAATAAGAATGGGGTGGAGCACATTCGGCAAGCACTCTCAAATTATGACAGGTAGATTGCCACTATCCCTCAAGAGGAAGGTATATAACAGCTGTATCTTACCGGTACTTAGCTACGGAGCAGAAACCTGGAGACTTACAAAGAGGGTTCAGCTTAAATTGAGGACGACGCAGCGAGCAATGGAAAGAAAAATGGTAGGTGTAACCTTAAGAGACAAGAAGAGAGCAGAGTGGATTAGGGGACAAACGGGGGTTAAGGATATCAGTTGAAATAAAGAAGAGGAAATGGACATGGGCTGGGCATGTAGCGCGTAGACAGGATAACTGCTGGTCATTAAGGGTAACTAACTGGATTCCCAAAGTAGGGAAGCGAGTTAGGGGGAGACAGAAGGTTAGGTGGGCAAATGAGATTAAGAAGTTTGCGGGTATAAATTGGCAGCAGCAAGCACAGGACCGGGTTAACTGGGGGAACATGGGAGAGGCCTTTGTCCTGCTGTGGACGTAGTCGGGCTGATGATGATGATGATCTATCACTTGCAACTTGAAAGCAGCCGTACAGCTTCAGTATCACCTCATAACTTAACAAGGTTACCGAAGCAACATACAAAACACTCCGCAAGGTGCACTTGCCACTTCGGCATGGCTTGAGTTGGATTGAATCTCTGTGCAATAGTACACTTGATGCTTAAGAGATGGCGCCAGATGGCGTGCGCTATCATCATCAGTGGCTGGAAAGAGCAGGCGACATTATTGCAGCAGTTTTCGGGGGTGCGATAATTACTCGAGGAAAGAAAGAAATTGTATTTTTATTAGGCGATGTGGGAGGTGCGAGAATCATGTGAGTGCGAGGATTACGTGAGTAAATACGATAATGCAGCATTCGAATTTGCTTCAAATTTAATTTATTTAAATTATTAACAATATCAAATTGTTCAAAACAAACAAATACTCTCATATTAGCCCGCATGTGACACTTTTTAAAGGTGGTTTCACTGCGGTGGGGTGGGGCTAAGTCAAAAGATCACCTATCCAGGTGTAGATTAGTTCGTAAGTAACCTGCCTTTACAAAATCGTTTCACTGCAGTGAAATAATGCTAAGCTGTGAAAACATGTACAGTCGACTCCTCTTAAACGGAACTCAAAGGGGGTCCATAAAACTGTTCCATTTATCAGTAGATTTATTTAAGCAAAGTACACTTATTTAGTGAACCAAGACCTTTATTCAAATTGCACAAACCTCACCTTACTCATGAGGATGGGTAGGAGAAAAAAGGAGTGAAGAGTGGTTTGTTTGGCAAGCTTGAGTTGTTTTTTCATAAGGTACGCACCCATGGCTGACAAACTAGCTAGAAATTCTGAACAAGCCTCATGCTCAAAATAGCGCTGCAAAAGTTCAACAGCCTCTATAGCTGATCGGTCTGGTGGCATCACTGCAGTGGCAGTATTGTCATCACATTCATCGCTGAAGGGTTGATCCTCATCCTGCACTTTGGCAATTATTTCTTCGACAGTCTTTTCACGACAGGTACGAACATTTTCATCAATTGATTTGTAGTCCTACACTGTGAAAGGGGCATAGGGTACGACCTGACTGAATACTGTCTCAATGTCGGCATTAGCAGGGCTTTCTTCTTCATCAGGTACTGCTTTCTTGCGCTTGAAAGCCAGCATGGTGAAAGCATCTGTGTATTATTGTTGCCTTCACTTGCTTCCAGGCACAAGCCAAAAAATGTGGATGGCTGCCAATAAATCTATGCTGTAGCATTTCGCACTGCCTGCTCTACGCAGCATTTGATAGAGCAATTGTCTGCGGCAATGAACTTTAATGTTCTGAATAATCCCTTGATCCATTGGCTAGATCACTGACGTTGCATTGGCTAGCAAGGACTCCAGAGTGATGGCTTGGAGTACTTGAACCTGACCGTGGGCTGGGCAATCATCCACTACGAAGACAACCTTCCTGCCTTGCCTTGTAAATCTTGCGTCTTCCTCCCGAAGCCAGTTTTCGAAAATGGCCGTAGTCATCCATGCTTTTCCGTTCCCATGGTACGCAACGGGAAGGTGTCTAACGTCTTTGAAACAACGTGGGTGCCTTGATTTTCCTGTTACCAACAGCTTCAATTTCTCATCTCCTGCCATGTTTGCACCCACCAGCACAGTGATGTGATATTTACTGAATTTTCCTCTACTACAGGCTTCGCCTTTGAAGGTGAGAGTCTTTGATGGAATCGCCTTATAAAAAAAGACCCATCTCGTCGACGGGGAAGACGTCTCGTGGCTCAAAGCTCATCAAAATTTCCTTAAACCGCCCCTGTTGCCAGTCGGTGCAAATGTCCCTGTTGACTGCACCACTCTCACCTGATATTGCTTTGAAGACTAGGTCATGGCGTGTTTTGAAGTGGCTGAGCCATCCGTCGCTTAGGACAATGTTCTTAAATGTTCTTAACACCCATTTGCATGGCAATCTCTCGAGCTTTCTGCTCAAGAATTGGTCCGCTTATGGGCAAATTGGAACTACGTACACGCTTGAACTACAGAAAAAGAACTTTTCTGGTTGTTCATAAGGCGTCATCCGCATCCGTTTAGATATAAAGGTCCCGTTCTTAACAGTGCCTTCAATCTTTTCTCAGTCTTTCCAGATCCGTGACAGCGTCAATTTCGGGATGTATTTTCTCGCCACCTCCATCTTGGGCAGGCCGCTTCGATCGAGCTCCTGAAGAATTCGCAGCTTTTTTTTCAGGCGAGAGAGTATGTTGCAGCGGCTTCCTTTCCATCAGGCTGAAATAACACCGTGATCCACCGCACAAATAGGCCTAACGCACAATTGACTCGCTGACTTCGCTCCCACAGCCATAAGCGAGAATGGCTACTGGATTGGCTTGTCTCGATCTCAAGGTGTTGCCATGGTTGTGAGACTACCTTTGGCATGAGCGAGTCCATGCTGTGTTTAGAGTTTGTGCCATTTAACCGTAGGTGACCAATAAGCATTATTTCGATTAACCGATGAATTTTACTGCGCAACACATAGAAATCCAGCCATATAAGCCCGCTTAGTTCCAATAATGAGGCATTTTTGTTTAAGTGAGTTTCATTTATTGGGAGTCCACTGTATTCAAAAGAAATCTGTGCTGTCACGAAGTGATATATGCTTCAAGGTTAAATGATGATAATACCCTCACATCGATTTATTCTTTAACTTTAAAAGCTTGTTATACTGACTTAGATGCTCCAAGCATAGCAAATTTTAAAAAGTAACACATTTTACAGCCTATCACTTATGTTCTACCGAAAGTCCAATCCCGTTACTATATTCAAAGTTGTTTTTCGCTTTCTTTGATACCAAAAAATGGCGCTTGCACAGGCCTTGTTTCAATATTTAAAAAATATTGTGCAGGTTTGTTATGTCATGACAAATATTCCCATTTTGTTTTATATAATATGCGATATATGTACTCTTCGAATTCTATGCATAATTATTCAACCAAAATTACTATTGACTTCGAACCTAAAATTTAATATTCACACAAGCCGAAGTTTCAGAATTTAATTCATTTCAGTCATATACCACCTCTTTATTTGGCTGTGTAGCACTCCATTAACTGTGGTGCGGGCACGGCCATCTACTTGGCGGTGAACTCGTCAACGGTGATTGTGATACGAGGCAAGCGGGCCTGCCTCTGGGGCTCCGTCTACCTTGACAGCTTCGGGGAAGAAGACAGGGACCTCAAGTGAGTGCACCAACTCTCCTGCTATTGCTTTGGTTTTAGAAATGATTTAGACAGTAAAGAGTTACCCTTCTAAGAATTCCGTGACTTGTTACAGAACTTCATTGCAGTCCTTCACAATTTGAATAGCCTGTAAAGAAGAAAGTAGTCTATGGTTAAAATAAATTCAATTGCAAACTTAAAAAAGCTTAGTCTGTCTATAAGTCTGTAGAGAAATTTTCTAACTATTTCTCTCAAACTCAGCAAAAGTGAAGGGTACTTCGGTAAAATTTTCGCATGCAGTATCCTGAACAACATGACAACGCTTGCCTTCTTGTCAAATTGTTGGCCCCAGCAACATTCCCTGTTCCACGCTTTCTCGTAAGCCTCAATGTTATGCGGAAGGTCGCATCTTGCTTGGATAACAGTGACGTAGTAACCTTGAGGTTTCAGCTTACATTCACATCGTAACCAGTCTGGCAGCCTAGCGGCAATGGACTTTTATGTTCTCGCATGCAGTTGTTGTTGATCTGCAGAGAAGTTCTTGCTTTTCGGACGTAGAAATCCTTACATAAGTCACTATTCAACAAAGTTTTTACTGAAATCATGATTTCATAGTGTTTAGGTGTAACTATATAAAAGCACCTCATCCAAGTGTCAACACCATACTGCCCTGGTCACGTCTCATTCTGTTTTCTTATTCCCCTTTTTCCCTCGTTGGCAAGGACCCGAGAGCTGTCGACACTAATTCAAACCACTTTGATGTGTCGCACATGCACGCAGGCGAGGGAAGCCACTCTACTTGAGCGTGGAGCGGTACCAGCTGCTGCAGCAGCAGTGGACGACGCACTCCTTCGACCACACTTCGCGACGCTGGGTGTGGCACAAGGACAACCTCTGATGCGCCCACCCCCTTTCGTCGGCATCACCTTCTGCACCTGCACCTGGCCGCGTCCAGGACGCTGTTGGCCAGCGGCGGTGCCATCGTTCTCCTAGGCTTGTTTCACTGATGCCTGGACACTGTGGGTGCTGCGGCCGTCACTTCTATCTGCCTTTTTCCTCACCGCACTATACATATGTACAGGCGAAGTTCTGCCGCGGCAGCGGAGAATGGCGCGTAGGATTTTCTTCTTTTTCTTTTTTTGTGAGATGCATCTGTCAAGTCGCACTGCAGTCAGGCCGAGAGAATATAATACTACTTTAGGAGTTGCAAAGAAGAAAATTTGCTGCTTGTTTACATTAAAAGAAGAGAGTTCAGATCACTTGTTCTTGTCTCTGTTTTGTAAAAGTGTTCTTAGTAGTTTGGTGGTAAAGAGGGTGATGTTCACAGCCTGCGCCCTCTGTATTGTAGAATGTTGCTCCACTCGACACTCCTCCTCGACTTGGTATTGTTGATAATAGTGCATGGTAAGTGCTTATGAATGGCCAGCAGCAGTTCCAAAATGCGCAGCGTCATTTTCAGTCAAGTGGCAGTACTGTACTCAGTTAAATTAACTGAAGGATAAACATGCGAGTCAAAGGTCGTTTTAGATGAGTGGGATTCTTTTGCTAAGCAGTTGGTCACGAGTTCACTTCAAGTAGAAACCACATAACCACAAACCACGTAAAAGCTCCTTCATTCGCTTTATACATGGTTCAAACAAGTGAGTCTTGTTAATAATCTGGCAGTTTATTTATGGTGTGCCAGAACAGCCAAGAAATGCTTATAGCTTTTTTCTTGAGTGCTAAATGCGCAGAACACTCAAAACATTCATAGTCAACTTCAGTATTATGTTGTTGCTTCATATCAGACACCGTATGCACTGCAAAGCACGATTGCCTGGCAATTGAGGAAATAAAATGTGATTGAAAATTTCAAAGCTACTTAAGAGAGAGAAAGAGACAGCAACATTTATTTTTTAAAAAAAGTTCATCGCTAATGGGGCCCCAACTGGCGTCCTCCAACTGGCGTGGGTCGCCAGTTGACTCCAAAGAGTCTCCAACAGCAACCGAACTTCTTTAACTGCTGGTAAAAGTGGCCGCAATTCAAGAAAGTAAGACTTCTCCATTTCTGAAGAAAAAAATTCTGTTGCACGAACGACGAACAGAACTTTGAAAACACTTTGTCACAAACTATTTTAATCTACAAAAATTACTTGCCGACATTTTTTCTTTACATGTGTGGAATGGACTAAAAGCAGCTCGCATAAAAGCGGGCACCTCTTGCTGTTAATAAGAGCGTTAATATTGTTGCTTAAAATAGGGGAGCTTAGAGTTGATTTTCATTCTTTCGTTTTCTTGTTATGCCATGATGCATGGGCTTTAGAATTTGAGGTTTTATAGTTTGTCTGTGGGGTCGGATTGAGGTGCCACTTCTGGCCATGCAGCATGCAAAAGGGCAGTCTTTTGAGATCATTTCCTGTTACCTCGTAGAGTGATGTTGGGCGAGGTTTAGAGTTTATTCAAAATCATTTCTGCAAAATGACACAAGGTGGCATGAGGGTTAGTAAAGAGATATCAACAAGCACTCATTAGTAGACTAAAATCACTAGGAACATGGATTTTGTCAAATAGAAAGCTTCAACTAGTCGCCAAGAAGTAAGTCGTGGTCAAAGGCCAAACACCGCACCAGTGCCTTTCAGAGGTGCTTGCTAACGAGGAAGCTAGCAAGTGGCAGTACAAGGGTGAAATCGACAAGTTGAAGTGCATGGACATGCAACAATAAGCTTTTTTCTGATAAATTCACGTGGATTTTCTTTTGTGGCTTTAGGCCATTTGTTAATTTTCCTTTCTTGAGGTCTATAGCTAGCATTCGTCACTTGTAGAAGGACTCCACGACCCCTCATGGCAGCCATGATGTACTTCCTGAAATCTTTTTGCCACAATCTAGTCAAGGAAAAATCAAGCCACAAATTTGAATCTTGGCTTTTGGGCTGTTTCCTCTAAACTGTAGATCAAGAAATTGTGAGAACCTGGAAGAGCCAGTGAATCGGAGTAACTTTTTAGATCGATGAATTTAGAGAAAGTGACCTTTATTCTTATAAGTTCATTTCGGTTGGTTTTCGTGTATTCACATGACAAACGGAGTGCAGAAACCTTTTTCATTGGACGATGGTTCTGCTGCCCACCCGACTGCGAAATGCATCCAGTCAGCGGATGAAGCGAGTCTACGAACGTGACAGACAAATTATGGTGGCACTATCTCAAACAGGAGCTGCCTGCTTGGATTCTTTGAAGGGGCCCTGCATGGTCAGAAAAAGCTGCCGATCGGTAGTAGAGGCTCCCGACAACATGCGAGCCAAATAATATTGCACAGCACGCGGCCTGGAATTCACAATAAATTATTGAAGTCAGCTAAAAATTGCTATCCCTTCTCTCGACAAATCGCACAATATACCCAAAAATCACACGCAGCAAGCCCATCTATCAGCCATTGGCTGGTCTGTACATAGCACGCTCGCTCGTTACAGAGATCACCGCAGGAGGCCGCTACTTGTCTACGCGTGCACGCTCAATCACGCTGAGAAAGCCGCACATTCGAAGAAAAAAAACAAGAAAAAGTGCTCAAGGTCGCGAGGCGTGCCTGACTTTTTTCTGTGACTCTGCCATCCCTTCCTGCTTGGCTTCCAATGCTTACGTCGGGACGAGAGAATGCAATTGCAGCGAGACAAACCTTTGTAATTCCACTCACACTGGATGGATTCTTAAAATTTTCGTGGTGTTGAATTCGTGACGCAATGAGCTCTTCCAGTGAATTCATTCCATGGTGTCACACCTGTCCCGTTTATTAGGGAGGCAATCGCCGGGCTAATTCCAAGAGCCGATGTATCGGCCCCCCGAACCGCACCACGAAAGCGTGGACAATTTAGAAGTGGTCCTTTTTTGGTGCGCCAGCGGACGCCGGCTGTGGCCCAAAGAACAAGTCAGAGCCGAGAGTTGATAAACAAACAAATTATATTCTCAATAATTGCAGATCGAAAACAATACACAAAAATGCACACTCCACAATAGTTGCATCCAATATGTCACCAATCAAACCAATCAATCAACGTATTACACAATACAATCAGCCACACTTGAAACAACGGACACAGGCAACAATACGCACTACAATGCAGTCGCATGCATTGAACAACCAAGACACTTAAGGACTAAAGAGATAGAAAACCTATTCAGTCCAAAGTCCTTGGAACATTTGAAAAATTGAATTGCTGCACAAACTTGAAGAAAAAAACAAGAGAGACAGGAAAGAGTGCAGACTACCAACTGTTTATTGTCGTTTTTTGAAGCCAATATATACATGCTACGCTGCGCTTCCACGATGCGCACAAAACCAAAGACGCCGCAAACAAAGCCGACCAAATCAAATCAAAATTGACTGCCACCACAATGACAAACGTGAAAAATGACAAAATACAAAAGTGATACCCACCACGACCACGAATACCCACCACTTTTGTATTTTGTCATTTTTCACGTTTGTCATTGTGGTGGCAGTCAATTTTGATTTGATTTGGTCGGCTTTGTTTGCGGCGTCTTTGGTTTTGTGCGCATCGTGGAAGCGCAGCGTAGCATGTATATATTGGCTTCAAAAAACGACAATAAACAGTTGGTAGTCTGCACTCTTTCCTGTCTCTCTTGTTTTTTTCTTCAAGTTTGTGCAGCAATTCAATTTTTCAAGTATGAACCAACTAGTCTGCAAAAAAGTATTGCTTCCTTGGAACAAAAGTCTGAATGATACTCTTCCGAGAATCACTCACTCAAAGTCCAGCGTTGTTGCCGTTCCGTAGTTCTCGAAGTTTCTCTTCCAGGAAAACTCCCGTCTTCAATTGGCCACTCTTCAAACTTCAACTTCTTCGCCGGAAATCCGTCGGCTTCCCACACGCAGCTGTTGCCCGCGTCTTCGCTCGATAGCGGTAAACCCACGCTCTTGCCTGTAGCTCGAGCCGTCCCTACGGACCAAAAACTTCGCCGACTACACGGCGGACTCTCTACGCACTCTGGCGCTCACTTCCGTCTCCTCCTGTTCTGTCACTACGGGCAGAACCTTCGCCGACTACACGGCGGGATTCCTACGCGCTCCGGCGCTAACGTTCCGTCTTCTCCTGATTTCTCGTCTCGGCCGCTCGGTTAAATACTTGCGCGCGACATTCCAGATGTTTCTTGTCGTTTCGTCGGCGCGATGCGCAGCGAAGGCTGGGGAGAGGCACGAGACGGTTCGACTGCCCTCTCCGGAGGATGATTCACTCGGTCTGACCCCGCCTCCTTCGTTCTAGAAAAATCGCGGTCTTGCTGGGCCGCCGATGTGGGGTGAGGAGGATCGTCTGCGAAGCCGTGCTTCTGCGGGGAGAGCGCGCGCCCGGGAGCCCTGGATGTTTGTTTTCTTTTTTTTTTTCTTTTTTACCTCGCGGCGTTTCTTCCGCCCGTTGTCGCAAGGATTTGGCGGCGCGCTCTTTTTTAGCGCTCGTTCTGTGACACTGCCCCCCACTTTAAGAATATTCTCTCATAATATTCAAACCCACACAAACGAGCGCGAACAGTCACCACACATTCTCACAGACTGTAACACAATCCGTCGCTCATGACACTTCACATTCACAATATATCACTCAATACAATCTTACATTGTAGTTCAATTCCACAGCACATGAAATTTAACCACAGGCACATGATTACAACACTTCATCACACATTCTAAACAATACAAACGTACAAAGTTCTGTCTATCCAACAATTATACAACACTATACATCACACCATCGCACAGAACACTGACTCAATCGACATACACTTGAGACACAGGATAACAAGAACATTAACACAACATATGTCACTCAGCCCTGCCGAACACATTCTGATTCCACCTCAGCACCTATCTTGAGTACTTCGAACAGTGCTTGCGCCCCTTTTTGCGGTGCTCGCTCGATCTATTCTTGTGTTTCCACGTTCTTTCTCGGCGAGCCCTTTCCAACGACGATATCTGAGGCGTCGTCTCAGCCATCGTTGTCTCTTCCGACACCGTTAATGCGTCATTACATTCGACGGGTCCAGTCTGTTTATTTACCCGCTTGATAATGCCTCTACATTTTGCCCGGCTGGCCAACTCCGTCTCCTTTACACTGTCAGTCGGTCGAGGTCGTGCCGACGTACATCCAGTTGCTCGGCCTGTGAACTTATTCGACACGATCGTCTTCTCCTTCGCTGTCTCTTGCGCCCCGGCTTCGCCTTGGGCTCTAGTGAGATCCGTCACGGGCTGCTCCTCCACTGTATCTCGCGGCCGCTGTGTT